CGAGGACCCCCTATGTACTCGAACAAATTTCAGTATGGGACAAATTGTTTGGATTCGTTTAATACCGAAAAAGTCGCTATGCCGAACTGGATGCTCAACAATTATTTTTTGGTATAGAGGCAATACTGTATACTGTAATACTTATCAATAAGGCAGATATAAAGCATGTATCCACATTCTGAACCTTTAAGAGAATCTCTAATCTGTCATACTGTACCTTGTAAGGTCTCCTCATAATTTTACCTCCTCATAACCAAGTTACCGTAACAAATATATCGATAACTTCATCTTCACAAAATTTGTAAATCCTCTATAAAAAAAATTAATCATGTGAACATAATTGGGGGATTAAACCAGATATACTATTTTTTAGCAGACCATATACACAGGCAGCCCTCATTATGAAATTAGCCAACTCTGAGGGCTTGGCCATCATGTCAGGCTCCCATTTGAAAGCCAAGGGCTGACCCCTCTACCACTCAACCATCGTTCTCAAAAGAAGATTGGATACAATCACTACTTTCCAGGGAAAGGCCTAATTAGATCTAAGCTACCTTGTCAGCATCTCAAGCCACTGCTACAGTCTGCATTATTTAATTTCAAGGCCAATCCACCAATTTACCTTAGTTTCCAGCTTACTAATAAAAAACCCAAGAGAAGAAAGAAAGTATCTGAACTACTTAGCTATGGGATCTGTAGAAAATGGGAGTTCAGGACCAGCACCCATAAACATTCCAGGGATGTACGATAGTGTTTGTCCATGCGAGATGTGTAGCTCAGACTTTTGGAAAAGTTTCCCCAGTACAGGTACCCAGAAAATTCCTGGAATGTGTGATTTTTTTGGGAGGAAGAGAAAATTTGTCTCAATACCCAGAAATCTCTCATTTCTGGAAGAGCTCTACACCAATTATTCCGGCTAATGGGGATACTATTATTGTACAGATATTTGAAAATGGGTTATGATTTTAACCGAAAAACGTACATTTATTTATTATCTATGTTTTGAGCATGCAGCATAACATATTTTCATTATACTATGTACAGTCAGCCAAAGATGCACCGACCCCACCCTGGGTCTCGTGCTCGCAATTTTACCTGGCAATACTTGGTAAAGGAAGGCTGTATGTAAAGGTGATTGTGATTGGTGGATCTGTTTTTGGTTGTATCACTGTCAGGATAATTATTAAACAAACCAAAGGTAGAATTTTTATAACAATAAACTATCCATTGTTGTTTAAGGTCATGAGAAGTTTCCAAATGTTCGTATATTTGTTTAAATAATTAAGAAAATTATATTAATGAAAGGGCAACTCAACTACAACCACAGCTGCCACAAGATTCTCGCATCAAATGACACTGCATGCCATGCATGCAGTGTCATTCAGAGGTGCCAGCACGTCTGCTACCACTTTCACTTCCTATGTTATTTACTTATCAATATAACTATAAAATTAGTTTTATATAAATTATATACACTATGTACACTGGAGGCACATAGTTGTGTGTCAGAAAGTATCCTGAAAATTTTCACCGGGAGATAAGGCAGCACCGTAGTGTGGAAGGTGGGAATGGAACGCTGCTCCCTTCACTACACAGACATTTCGCTTTGTCTCCGTGTTTGCGGCCTCCACACACTCATCTATTTATAGCCATAAGTTGCCAAGTCATTTAAAATGAGTTAATCTACAGGTCTGAACCCATAAAAGCCCTTAGGCTTAACGTGATGTAAACTACGTCAGTGACCAATTAGTGTAAGACAAGGGGTGAAGTAATTTACGTCAGTGATCAATTAAAAGGTTAAGCTCCCTGTGGTAAACTTTTTATGCACACACTTTTTAATTAATTTGTTTACTGGAATAATTGAAGCTTACCTCATCCTCCACACTCTCCAAAGAAATCACCTTTCTCCTACAGAACTTTGAAATACTGTACTTAGCTTATCGTAGGACAGGTTATGAATCTCTAATGAAGTTCTAAGAAGACTTCAGCCAGTTGAATGTTATGTTGAGGAAATAACCAGAACGTACAGTGCTCCCCTCAAGTACAGCTCTTCCCCAACTTACGACCTGCCTCAGTCGTACCAAAATTTTGTCAAATTACGTATTTTCGACTCCCAACGTCAGTACAGAGAAAATTTTCGTTTGTAATTCACTTTAAAATGGCTGGCAAGCTTAAAAGTGAGAGTTTTGTGGTGCTGAGAAGAAAAAGAGACACCCATTTTAGATTTTCTATGTATTATTTAAACATTTTCGACTTATGACCTGGTTTTGGGTCCCTAACCCAGTCGTACGTCGGGGAGGAGCTGTACATGGATTTTAACACCGCGGAACCCAACTTCACGTATCAATGCCATGCAACCCAAATTTCAAGGTACACGGGGCTCCCAAGTAAGCGGGCATAAATTTCCGTGCAGCACGGCCGAGTAAAGGAGGGAAAAGGGAGAGAAAGAGGTGCCCAGAATGAGAATGACGTATCTCCAAAACGACTGTTTTGAATAAATCGCATTTCAAATTTATGTACCATGGAAAAAACTGCATGGATTTCAATGAAACTTTCCACAAAAGTTGGACTGTATAAGTGATGTTGCCTGTGGAAAATTGAGCCCCATATGCCACTTCCCCACCCCCCCCAAAAAAAAAATAAATAAAAAAATAAATAAATAAATAAATAAATAAATATATATCACCAAATTTTCACGAAACTGGGTATATTAGTTACGTACTCTTCCAATGGAATTCTCGACCTTGCTGCGGCATAAGTGACACTCAATCAAGCTTGATCATGTAGAACAAAAGCCAGTGAACACGCCTGTGGCCATATCTCCAAATCGCGATTTTGGCGCTTATGCCACTCCCATTCTAGGCGCCTCAAGTGAACAAAGGAGCTGGCTGTTGATTGGCCAAGTGGCCACTATCAACCAATAAGAGACGAGGACATCAATTCCTGGTTGTGACATTACCAATGATGCAGACGCCAATCCTCCTCTCCTCAAGACACTACAGCAGCTTGCTTTTTCCTGTATTTTAAAGGAGTTTTTGGGTGCTACAGCTACCATGGCTACCCCAGCTACTGCTGTTGGGGCTCCAGCACCTGCCCAGCCAGGCAGAAGAGTGAAGTCAATGACCCTGGCATGCAAGGAGATATTAGACTGGCTGGGCAAGGGCAAAAAACTGTTTATTCTTCTTTTTCAAGGGCTTATTTTTGTTTTATTATTCACTTTATATAACTAAGGTACACATATTTAACTAAGGGTAACTTTCATAGAGGTTATGTGCAGAAAAAGTGCTTTGAAAGACCAGTTTTGGGTTCATGGAGTGTATCTGGAGGGGCCACGGAACCAATTGTTTTTTCCCAGTAGTTTATAGTACCCAAGTTAAAGCTACTCCGTTGGCACCAATTACCCGCATACTTGGTGATGGATGTTTACTTGTTCTGGTCGTCTAAGCAGCTCTGATTATGTTCCAAGCCTTAGAGCTACGTCTCACCAGCGGCAACTTACCACTGTTCAACACATCACGCTAAACTAACTTATTTGTTTAAGGTATACTGTACTTGTACAACTCAGTGTTATTAATTTCTAAAATACAATGGTAATTGATTCTTGATTTATTTATGTGTATAAACTAATTTACTTGATTTAAAGTAAATGACGAGAATAGTCAACTCGTCTCAACCCTATAAAACTATCTGATGGCCACTTACTTTCACCGCACTAATTATTTATAATAGTAATATACCAACACCACTATTTAGAATTTTATACATGTGAATCATATATTATACAATTGATTGTGAGAAATCCATGATTTACCTGACAACAAGTCTATTTTATGCTGAATTCACCCAGAAACCCAAGTACTGAATATCCAAGTGTGCTTTAGGGTTCTGTGGGGCAATCTGCTAGAAGGTTTTATATACAAATAATATTATTGTATAGAATTATATAAAATAATTTCAACACTCCTTCTGGCCATACAGTCCCAAAGGTGTCACTCCCAAAACTGTCACCAAAAGTAGCAGCTACAGTACTCTGGTCCTTCATGAAGAATAAACTCATTAAAACTGCAACACAAAACTTTCAACAAGGATAAGCTGTTTGAAAGGTCTCATACCCACCAAATACAACCAGGCTGACCAAGTTAAATGTCCCAGTAAATTAAATGTGGAGGTTCCAACAACACTAATCCCAAACTCACTCACCTATATGTAGTGAGATTTACCCTGTTGGTGATTAAGGCTGCTCAATGTACTCTTCTGTGATTGAACACTGGCCAATAAAAGGAGTTCTGAAGCACTACCATTCTATTTTCCAAGTGGGAGAACCTTACAAGACACAGTAACACAAAGAAATTTGAACACAGCTAAAAGACCTCCTCTTCCACTCTCTGACTCAAGGTCAGTTAGTCATAAAATATTATGAGCAAAGCAACCCAGCTGGTGAAACTGAACCTCATTGCCCCACCCAAAAAAAAAGACCCACTAGAGAACGAACACCTCATCACTGCCTCAAATTGTACATCATTTGAAGAAATTAGAGATGAAAGAAATAAAACATATCATAAATACACCATTGCAAATAAATTGATTATCCCAACCTCTTGGGGGATAAATCCAATAGAGAGAGGCTCTAACCCCCTTTCAGGGGGCATTATAGGTATGTACTCCATTCCTAGACATGGTATATGCCTTGGCACTAACCCTCCCACCAAAATGCATGGTAGCTATTAAACAGGAAAGCTTATCCTTTGAGATGAACATATTCATTAAAACCACATATGAGAAGGTATCAGGATGAACTCTTTGATACCTACAGCAGCTAACCTATTACAGTCTCTCCTCGACTTACAACGGGGTTTCCCAACGACCAGGTCATAAGTCGATTTGGTCGTAAGTCGAAAAGGCGAAAATAATACATAGAAATTCTAAAATGGGTGTCTCTTTTTCTTCTCAGCACCACGAACACTCTCACTTTTATGCTTACCAGCCATTTTAAAGGGAATTACAAAAAAAAAAAAATTTCAGTACACAGCGCGATCACTAACGTCGGGACTCGAAAATACGTAATGTGAAAAATATTTTACACGACCATGGCCATCATATGTCCGGGTTGTCGTAAGTCAAAGAGAGACTGTACTCACAAACCAGAAAATCCTTCCCAAAAGCTTATTTCTCATTTGATGGAGAAACCAGTGCAGAACTTTCAGTTCTATTCATGTTGATATGCAAACTCAACCCAGAAGGGTAATGAATCCCATGCTCCATTATCAAAGGAGTGCAAATTTTGTCCCTTGTATTAAGCATCTATCTAAATAACCTTTCAAAAGTAAATATGAAGATGGAGCCCTGAACCGACATTAGGGATTCCTACATCTAATTACACAAAGCCTAGAAGTACTTCCTGTCCCGTAAAAGATATCCTGCTTTTAGAGGGCAACCTTTGTTTTTAAAATCCCTCTTTTGAGGGTGGTGGTTGTGAAGGGGAGGGATAAGTACCATAATCATAAGATCAGCTTCCAGCTTTTAAAGGAGAGTTTGGTGTGATGGCTAAACCTTAATTGTTGGCTTGTGCAGTAATGAGAGCCACCTGGTGAAGGGTATCAAGCCAGAAAACTTTTTTAACCAGTTAACTGAAACAACAAAAGTGAATCTACTTACCACAAATTGCCACTCACGTGTACAGTATTAAATTTCCTTTTCTATTATTTTAAGAACATAAAATATATCATTACTTAGTGGCTTTGGGGATGGAGCTTCAAATAATATTTATATCTTGTGTGTCATCAGGGGATTAAGTGGTGTATCTTAAATGCTTAGTGTATCTTAAACTGCCTTTAACAGTTTTTTGTGCCCAAATACATACAATGCATAAGGAAATACTACACCAAGATGTGAAATTTAAATTGTAAAATCAGAAGTCATGTTATCTATTTTCATAAATACTTCAATGCAAAGTACAAACATAGAAGTACAATAACCATACCAGCAAATAAGATATACTTGTCCTGCGTGGACCGCCTTTCTATCATTCTCATGACAGTATTGGATAAGCCAAGTGTATTTGCTAGGTCTAGAACACGTTTGTGGGCACCCTTTAAAGTTGACCCTTGGTCTCGCAGGCCCTGGAGGATGTTGGTGCCTGCTCCTAAAAGTTCATCTACATTCCGATTAGTATCCTGAAAAAAAAAGAGTCTATATACATACAGTATAAGTATAAATTGATTTGGCAATATAGTACGAACACTAACTGACTATAAAAAACTGGACACTTTAATATCATTTCGTTCGTTCAAAAGATGTTACCGTAATCGCTTTTCGATTGGTTTTCAGTTAAAAAACCGTTGTATTACAATAATAATCTATCCTAATTGACTTGAATAAATACTACGATACCATATTTCTGAATATTTTCATTAAAATCCATCCAAATCATTTTCCTTGTCATCGTCTGCAGCACCAAACAGCTTCTCCCAGTCCTCTCCTGTTACATCACACGTATATTTTACCTAAACTGCACCTGAATGAATATATTCTCGGAAATAAATAGTAGTTCTGCTGAAACGTGATGTATTTCAATGTAAAATAGGATAAAATACATGACGAAAACAAAAGACTTTACCTAAGCTTTCGATGTTCTTGAGATGTTATTCGTTCTTTTACTAGTTTTCGGTTAAAATACTGTTATATTACAATGATATTCTATTCATACTGTGCTTGATATAATACATTCACGGAAATGTAATATTTTTGCTGAAATTACTTACGTATTACAGTGGAAAGTGGGATAAAATCGTGACGAAAACAATGACTTTGAAATATAATGCGATATTAACCCCTAAATCGGTTAATTCGGACAATCGGCTAAAACGGACACCCCCCCCCATTAGTCCGAATTAACGAGGGTCGACTGTATTATTAAACAAGAAAGGGTGTTAACATTTTTAATTTGCTAAACCGAAATATTGCTAAGTAAATGATCGTTAAATGAAGGATACCAGTATGTACCATTTCTTATGACTTTCATTTAATTTTTATGCTGAAAAGTGTGTGTGCAAAACAGGGGCATCATTTCAGATTTTGCATAGGGGAGGCAACACCACTACACGCAAAGAGTAGGGGTCAAAATCCTGCTCCACCGTGGTGCCGCTGGGTGGTGCTGTAACAGACGGAACACATTCCAGCACGTATTATATTTCCAATTTGCACCAGCCCGGTGTGGACTGTGTGGCTGCTAGCAATATGACTTACTTTCTTGGTGCTATTCAGTTTATAAATGATAGGCAATGGGAACGATGAAAATAGATGAATACTTATCATTTTGTTTAATTATCCATAGTAAAAATACCATCGAGATGTTCTCACCAAATCCAAATTCGTCTATATGAAAAAGGGATAGAATTAAAATTTTCCTCGGAGAGCAGGACAGCCCTTGGGAGGGGCAAGCCAGGTCTTGAGGACGGCAAGCCAGATCTTGGGGAGAGGGGAGGGGGGTGAAGTGCCCCCAGCCCTCCAAATGACGCCCCTGGTGTGAAAGCCTGAAGTACATCAATTTCCAATGGACTAAAATTATTTATTTGTTCCTTAGTGAAAGTGCCTATTAGGGACAGTGTGCATACAGCACACTGTACTATACTGAATCTTCAGTACACAAGGAGGCAGTATGGCCAGTACTGAACTCGACCACAATCACTTCCCCAAATTGTAAACTTCGGAGCTCATTTACAGCTGGGTGAACTGGGACTGGAAGTGTCCGGGGATCAAACCATCGACCCCTGGAACAGGAAGTGAGTGCTGTATCCACTCGACAGGTCACTTCTTGTTGCTCAATAATTCAAGATCAATACTGCATTTTTACCTTTTTATTTATGCCTAATTAAAAAAATGTGACATTTTCTTACCCCTAATTTATCATGATGCTGAAGTTCATGGTCCAAGAAAATGGAAGTGTCCTGTTGGTCGTTGGTGGTAAATTTTCGAGACAGCAATGCATCTCTCTCCTCTACCTCACGGGCACGCATTTGTCTACGATGCTGTAGCATTCCAAATGAATTCTGAAAAAGGTTGGGGCAGGTGGAGAGACCTGATTACACCAAGTATCCTTACCCTTACTTCAGTTTCCCACCTAGTGTTTTACATTTCACTATAAACATATTGTATTTCTGTAGAGCCTTTCATGTTCATGTAACAATGACATCACATTCTGTTTAATATCAACATGGCATGCAGAAATGATGGACCAACCAACAATTCAACTTGCAGGATAGATGGCACAAAATTGTTACTCTGAGTTCAGCAATGACCATTCCCATAATTACAGTGATCCCTCGGCTAACGAGCGCCTCGGTTAATGAGATTTCAGTTAACGATTTACCTTCCATAAGATTCTTAACTTCGGTTAACGAGCAATCCCTCGATTAACGAGTTTTTTACGAGCCGACCTCAACATGTTTTCGCTTGCATTTGGCAGTCCACCAGCTGTAGTATTAGTCCGCCAATACAGTAATCGGTTTTAGGGCTTAAATTCCTTACTATTTTAGTAAATATCAAGAAGTTTATACTATTCAATAATTTTAAAAGTTTAATATTAAATTTTTTAGTCATTTTAACAATTATTGAACATAATTGAAGGTAAAGTAACTAGTTTCATGCGTGCCATCCAGCCTGTTAACACACAAACAGGAGCCAGTCTCTCTCTCTTTTCAGAGGAGGTAACATCTTGCTTGAGACTCTCTTCAACTAAATGCTTTTTTTCTGTGTTTGCAAGCAAATTATTGGTCATTTTGAAATTTATTTTACATATTGAAAATATACAATGCAGTGCAGTGTTGATTTAAAGAAAATAATCTTGAATTACACCAAGAGAACTAAAATTTTATGGGTGAAATGACGCCATGGAGTGACTTCTCTTCCACCCCAATGCCTTCTCTTCACCCTTCTCCTCCACCCCCATTCTAATTCCCATCATCATCATCATCCAGGAGCCTTCTACATACACACGTCAAAGTAAGTTTACTTTTCTACCTTTTTTGTTGAATTTAGGCAATTTTCGGTGAGCTGGAACCAATTACCCAAAAACCCATTGAAACAATGATTTCGGTTAACGAGCAACCTGCTGGAACGGATTGTGCTCGTTAACCGAGGGACCACTATAATTAACTTAACTTCAGGGGTCCCAGCCAAGTCATGAGGAAAAATATAGGAAATACAGTATGAGAGTTTTACAGGACTTTTCAACACAAAAATAGGAAATATAGGATAATAGTGAAAGCATCAAAATATTTATTTATTCTTAGAAAAATTTGTTTAATCGAATTATGGTTTTTCTTACAGCCATCCCATTCACCCAATTGTCAACATAATGACCTACTGGTAGCAGTTGTGAAATAAATAACCAGATATTTTTTTTAACAATGCAGTACAGGCATCCCCCACATTACAGAATTTCACCCTTATGGAGTTTTGAAATTATTATCAAAATTTTAGGATACAGAAAAAAACTCGCCCTTAAGGAATTTGGGTAAAACTTAAAAATAATAAAATATAATAATTTTTTTTTCAATTTTTAACCAAAAGATTTACCCAAATTGTAAAATTATTTTTGTGTGGATTCTCGGTGGCAGCCACAACACGGCTGCGGTCCCACAACAACAACAACGGTTTTGGTGTGTTTGAATCTCAAGCCAATGTTCATCTGTGCCTTTCTTTTCTGGAATGTAATACAGTTACAGTATTGTACTGTGCATTCTTATACAAGATTAGTGGAAAGAGGCTATCAAGTGCAGGTGCTAGCAGTGGTGGCAAGAGACCACAAAAGGGTATTACCTTGGAAATAAAATTAGATGTGTTATGGAGGTTTGACCAGGGGAGAAGCTGAGTTACATTGCCAAAACTTTGGGATTGCTATCTCCACTATCAGAACAATCCGTATATTCATCATAGTGAGGTCAGGATAAAAATGGAATGCTAACTCAGTGTATGGATAAAGGACCAAACAAAGCAATATGTGCTCATTAACATCATGGTGATTCAGGAAAAGGCGAAGAGTCTGTACACAGATTTAAGCCAGGAACAAGGTGCTAGTTCTGATGAAAAACCATTTAATGCCAGCAAAGTGTGGTTTGAGCATTTTAAGAAATGCTCAAACCTACACAACATTATGATGGTAGTTGAAGCAGCCAATGCTGATACTGAGGCTGCTAGTAATTACCCAGTCGAATTAAAGGCAATCACTGAGGCTGATGGATACACACCACAAAAAGTGTACAGTACAATGATGACAAAACAGGCCTCTTTTATAAGCGCATACCTGCAAGGACATGTACAGTATTTCAACTGAGGAGAAGACAGCTCCTGGGTTTAAGGCTTCCCAAAATCGTGTAATGCTTATGTTAGGGGGTACAGTAGAAGTCCAAAAATCCGGACTGCTTGGGGATTGGGTCGGTCCAGATTTTCGGATTTTCCGGATTCTCAGGCAGTACTTTTAAAATTCAAATTTAAGGAGGAATAAAGAAGAGATGAACAGGTACAGCAATATCTTACTGTCTAATACCATGACGAGTCTTGAAATTCCTAAGCCATCCATCGCTAAATGAGCACTCTGATTCAATGTTCATTTGCGACTTAAAAGACTTTGCTTTGGCACAAGCATCGGCCCAGAAATTGACATACCTTCTGATCGTTTTAACAAAAACCATTCGTGCAACACTTTATCAAGATTTTCTAATTTTGGCCAATGTAAACTTTTTCTTTCAGCAATTTGATTGTAAAGCCCAGAAGAAGCTGTGAATTCTAGAATTTTATTCTTTGCCTTTTTTATATCATAAATTGTAGACTTTCCAATGTCGTATGTTTCCATTAGAACAGTATTGCTCACACGACGTTCTAGTTTCTTAATTATTTCAAGTTTGTCACTCAATTTCAACGTGTTCTTCTTTCTCTTCATACAACGAAGTTTATCTACTTTAGGAGCAATTATTATGGGCTTGTACTCTGTAAATGGAAAGAGTAGGACTCAAAATTACATACGTTGTTACAGTTTGATTGTTCATTTTAAAGTGGCGGCCGCGTGGTCGCTTGTTGTCGCTGTGCAGCTGTGGCACTCACGCATGCACAAATACACACAAAAGCCCGCTAAATTTAAAAAGTTTGAGAGTTTTCGAAAGTCCGGATTCTCAGGTGGTCCGGATTTCTGGCATCCAGATTTTTGAACTTTTACTGTAATAAAACAGGAGGCTTCAACCACTCAGAAAATCCAAGGGCATTCAAGGGCTATGCCAAATCTAGGTTACCAATGATATGGCACTCCAATAGGAAAGTATGGGTGACTGGCAGTCTGTTCCAAATATGGTTCACAAGCTGTTTCTGCCCTGCAGTAGAAAGGTACAGTAATAAAAAAACATTTCCAACAAGGCCTTGTTACTGCTAGAATAATGCTCCCAGCCACCCTGTTAACCATAATGACTTTTCCAGTACAGTAATATCAGGGTTGAATACCTATCCAAGAACACAACTGTGAGATAATTACTACACCACGTGAGGTCCCTCATAACACCATCTGTGAGGTAATTACTACACCACGTGAGGTCCCTCATAACACCATCTGTGAGGGAATTACTACACCACGTGAGGCCCCTCATAACACCATCAGCGAGGGAATTACTACACCACGCCAGGTCCCTCATAACAACATCTGAGGGAACTACTACACCACGTGAGTTCCTCCTAACACCATCTGGGAGGGAGTTACTACACTACGAGTTTGCTGTTCAACACCTACATTAATCTGTATGTTCACTGTATGTTCCTTTACCTTTCTCTAATGAAGGCTTTTGTTAAACCACCAATGTATGTAATAAGTCATTTATGTCCAATGTATATTTTCAGCCTTCGGGCTGCAGAATTTTTTCAATAAACCGTTAATTATTATTATTAACTTCTTTGCTACAGGCTATGGCTCAAGGTGTGATTGCCAGCTATAAGGCAATACTATTTATGCAGGACTTTTAGACAACTTATAGCTGCAACTGACAGTGAGGATCAGCAAAGGTCCAAGATTTCTGGAAGAAGTTTAAAATCACGAATGCCGTAGAAAACATTGCCGAGACATGGGATGAGGTCAAATGTACAATAATGAATGGTGTGTGAAAGAACATCTGGCCAAAATGTGGCCACGGTTTCCAATGTCTTCCTCAGGTTCGGACCTAAGATCAGGTGCAGCAGGAAATTATAACTCTGGTAAATGGTGCAGGGTTTGAGGATATGGATCAGGATGGTGTGGTAAAGCTGTTAAGAGTCACACAGAAAGGATCTGTCCAATGAGGATCTTATGTTAATGGAACAGGAACGAGTTCCTGATGAGGAACATCCCATGAATTGACATCAAAGGTTTTATTTAAAGTGCTTAGTCAACTGGAAGATGCAATGCAAACTGTTGAGACTCAATCCAGATCGTGAACACAGCCTCAAGTTTGCAAGAGGATTGGAGAACCTGACGAGCAGCTATAAGGAGCTGTACACTGAAAAATTGTGATGTCAACGACAGATCACACAGGATAAATTCTTTACCCCAAAACCATTGCCAGCACCAAAAGAAAAGGAGTTATCAGTGACTCACTGTCTTCCTCCTAGTAACTATAATTGCACCACCTCACTTAAGTCAGCAAGCAACATCATTTTTGATAAGTAAAATTTGAACGTCTTGTTCATTTATTATTATGTTACATCACGAATGACTCATTATATGTGGTTAAAACCCTCTAATTTAATACATATACTGTATGTGCTTGTGTTAAATTTTTGGGCCTCAAAAAATTCCCATAAGAACGCATCTCAACTCCTAATTAAAGGCAATGGGATTTTAAGGAAAACCCTTCCGTAACCCAGGAGATGCCTGTAGAAGTAAATTGTTATAAATCAATGGATACCTTGTCATTATGAACACAGTAAATGAGGATCACCTAAACCAACTACAGGGTAAGTCTGAGTAATTTTTTTTTTACAAGTTATTTATCTTACATCATTCAATACTTGGCAGTGATGTAGCTAAAGGTTGCCAGAGTTCAGAGAAAGTTTTTCAGAAAATATGATTTGTTCATAATTTTTGGATCGTTTGCAGAGGGACAACTCCCTTAAGACAAAGTACAATAGGGCAGGATCTCACTGAAACATTCAAAATCTTGAAAGGAATGGAAAATATGAACTCAAGCCATTTCTTTGCAAGGGAATTAACTACAAGCTTGCCAAGTTATCATGCAGAACGAACATACGGAAATACTTCTTCACACGGAGGGTGGTACACCTATGGAATGGTCTACCAGCCCAACCTGTGAAATCACAAACAGTACTGGGCTTCCAAATAGCTAGACAAAATTATCAAGAACAATGGAGGGATTCTACACAGGTCACTGGCCTCCTTCCTTTGGCATGGCCACCACATTAATTGGGTAAATAAGGTAAATAACTTAAAAAAGGGTTATTTCAAGATGAGCTAATAAGTAGGATCCTGAATAAAAACTATTTAAAGTACCCGGTAATGTACCTGAACATGCTGAAGGTCATACTTCAGCTGATCAACTCGATATTTTGCATTCACTCTTCTAGCTGGTGGCTCCTTGTTGATCAATATATCCAGGCGACTGCAGTTGCTGTTGATGGGAATATGTTTTAATATTTTTTCCCAAGCTATTTTGAAATCGAGATGGAGTCTAACATGAATCTAAATTGTATTTTTTTCTTTTTTGGAACAAACTCCAAACCAAAAACCAGGGCAGCCGCAGTAAAGTTACTGTTCAATGAGTTATACAGTAGTACTTATAAAAAACTTCTACTACAGTATTTAAATCTCGCTCTAATGTAAATAAACAAATTTACAGTTAAAAAAATAGAGCCTTTAAATTAATTGCCTATCATTGTTACAGCAACAGTATTTGCATACTCACGAATGAATAGTGTCAAGCTTTTGGATCACTACAGCCTCAGCTTCATTAACCTCTTCTGGAGTGTGTGACCGCTCAATCTTCACCAGGTTATTAGATGTCACCTCTTGCAACAGGCGGTTTGTTTGATGGTATAAGGCCTCCATCTTGAGGTGTGAAGTATATGTACTGCTGATCACACAGTATGAAGTAGTTCATGAACAATTACTGATGTTTTCCACTCTCTTAAAATAGTTCTTTATAAGTTCAATTATTTACAATGTAAACACTAATTCTTTTATGCAGTGCACTCTCACACCTTAAGTAGTTATTTGTCCTGTAACATGCAAATAAGTTTAGTAAAAACAACATTTTTTAACCATAATATAAAAAAATATTCATTAAGTTCTTATGAATTTGAGCACTAATTCTCTATCAACTGGATCTTCAGTGTAAAACTAGCGTGTAAACAATATTCATCAGGCATTCAATGATTAAGTATTGTAAGTTTCCCAACAAGAATTTACATAATACAGCAAAGAGCTTATTTATACCAAAAGGTTAAACATAATATTAGACCATTTGACAGAATTTGTGGGGCGACAATTCCCATGCAAGAGAATCATTTTAGCCTTGAGCATTGACTTAGGTGGTGGCCAACTCAGTACACACTGCTATACAATAATGCCCAGCCTGTCATAACAATGAACCCATGTCTCCCTGGTAGGGATTCTAGAACACTTACAACCCTACAAACAAAAGCATTGTGGACTGAATCCTGATTTATAATTGAGGATGAAATGAAAGACTTGTGACTAAAGGCGAAAGCACACTGGGCGCTTTCCTCCAAACATGTTTCGCAAACACGGTCCGGCTAGCAAGACAAGGAGACGTTTTGCGTCACACTGGGATGTTTTGTTGGTGCGTCTGCCCAATGCAACGAAAACAACAACAAAGTGTAGACGAGATTCGCCATGGATCCCGTTACTACAGTTAAGGCCTTGCAGTACTGTGCTATAGTTCTTCAATTGCTGAAGCAAGTGAGGCATCTGCAAAAGCTAAAAAAAAAAGACAATGGGTGTCTCGTGAAGTTTCTTTTAAAAGTGGCAGCAGCTGGCTGATCAAAGAAGACCCTGAATAATGATTAAATAATACTAAAGAAGTTTGAAAGTGATGAATAAATAGAAATATGTCACTGGTTTATGTATTATATTTTAAACTAGCAGAAACGCTAGGCCATGGTAGGGCGCCACCCTCCGGGAGGCTCCACATTGTCTCACTGTTCAGTCCTCAAAACTTCTACTTCCATCAATAGTTCATTACCGGTGTATGTAACTTCCACCATGTTTTTCACTACAACGGTACAGCAAAGTATATTTTTTAGCATTAAACTGTTATTTTATTGTCTAATCATCACTACATATAACACCACCCATCATCACTACATATAACATCATCCATCATCACTACATATAACAACATCCATCATCACTACATATAACATCATCCATCATCACTACATATAACACTATCCATCATCACTACATATAACACCATCCATCATCACTACATATAACACCATCCATCATCACTACATATAACACCATCCATCATCACTACAGATCGGTAAAGTACTTTCTGAGATTCTCGTGCGGACACACAGACAGACTTCTCTGTTTTATATGAATAGATTATTACTGTTTCATGATTTACTTAAATTTTTACTTGAAATTATATAAAGCTCATTTGAGCACTAATCCGGCCAACAAAGATCCCTGGCAAACCACTGTCCATTTCGCTCAACAGCAGAAATCCTGATGCTTGCTGGGCCATCAGGCCAATGGCCAGCAGAACTTGTTTGGAGGAAAGTGCCCAGTGTGCCACCTCCTTTACATGACTTGCTTAAGGCCTCAACTAGAGTAACGGGATCCATAGCGAACCTTGTTGAGACGCTTTGTTGTTGATTTCGTTGTATTGAGCAGACCCACCAACAAAAAATCACAGTGTGATGCAAAACGTCTCTTTTATTTTTTGCTGGCCAGACTGTGTTTTCCAATCATGTTTGGAGGAAAGTGTCCAGTGTTCCGCCGTTCTTATCCCTTGTGGAAGAAATGTCTCAACACATTAGCATACTGCAGCAATGTGCTGTTGAAAGTTACACTCCAAGTCCAAATAAGATCTTTCAATATATAAAGAAAAGAGTCCTCCTCCACATTCCTAATAAATGCAAGGATTATGTTCCAATACAAAGCTGCATTGCAGACAATCTTGACATATGAAATACTGTATTGTTACTTTTTTATTCTTGCTACACTATAAGTACTGTACTGATATAATAAAGTACAGCATTTGGGAATAATTACCTTGCATTCCTTCGGATACTTTAACTTTGTTCCCCTCAAAAATAATGATTGGGATGAAGTACAGTACTGTTTTACCTGATAACAATAAACCTTGAAAATATAACACCATACAGTGGTCCCTCGGTTAATGAGCGCCTCGGTTAACGAGATTTCGGTTAACGAGTTACCTTCCATAAGATTCTTAACTTCGGTTAACGAGCAATCCCTCAATTAACGAGTTTCTTACGAGCCAACCTGAACATGATTTCGCTTGCATTTGGCAGTCCACCAGCTGTAGTAATAGTCCGCCAATACAGTAATCGGTTCCAGGGCTTAAATTCCTTACCATTTTAGCAAATATCAAGAAGTTTATACTATTCAATAATTTTAAAAGTTTAATATCAAATTTTTTACTCATTTTAATAATTATTGAACATAATTGAAGGTAATGAAACTAGTTTTATGCGTGCCATCCAGCCTCTCAACACACCATACAGGCGTCAGTCTTTGTATCTTTTCAGTGGAGGTAACATCTTACTTGAGACTCTCAACTAAATGCTTTTTTCTGTTTTTGCAAGCAAATTATTGGTCATTTTGAAATTTATTTTACATATTGACAATATACAATGCAGTGCAGTGTTGATTTAAAGAAAATTATCTTGAATTGCACCAAGAGAACTAAAATTTTATGGGTGAAATGGCGCCATGGGGTGACTTCTCTTCCACCCCAATGCCTTCTCTTCTCCCTTCTCCACCCCCATTCTAATTCCCATCATCATCATCCAGGAGCCTTCTACATACACACCTCAAAGTAAGTGTACTTTTCTACCTTTTTTGTTGAATTTAGGCAATTTTCGGTGAGCTGGAACCAATTACCCAAAAACCAATTGAAACAATAGTTTCGGTTAACGAGTTTTTCGGTTAACGAGTAACCTTCTAGAATGGATTGTGCTCGTTAACCGAGGGACCACTGTATATACAGTACTCGTGTATAAACTGATACTAGACATATTTTGTAGCAGATTCACACCACCACAACAGCTGATGCCATTAACAGTGTTACAGCACCAACTCTGAAACTGAATTCCTGCCAGATATCAACTCCAATGAGGAATAACATAGAATAATATACTGTATAGTGTATACCAGTAAATGTGAAAATAAATAAAAATGCCAATAAATAGAATAACATACAAAATACTGTACAGGCATTGCCATTTGGCTGCTGGACGACAAAATATTTGACAATCGTTTCACTACAATACACACAGGAGACAGCCCAGAACTGCTGAGATCAAGCATTCCACTGACCCCCCTCCCTCTTCCCCACTCAACATTTTAACTTTTAACACATGAAGAAATGTTTATTCCCTGTGTGTTTTTTACCTTATCATAATTATTTATTTATCTTTTTTTTTGCACAGTCTTCCATGTGAGATTGTGTGCATGTGGATGAGTAAAAAAATGAAGCAAATTACGTAAACCCAGCCAAAAATTTTTGAAAAATAATCATAACATAGCATATAGCTCACAGCTCAGCCTGGTAGAGAGAGAGCTAGGGGATGTGGCTACAGTGACAAGTTTTGTGTTACTATTACAAATACAAAACTTATATAAAATATTGAAAAACAAGCACACAAAAAAATAGGGAATATTATCAGATGTAAAGTAACAGCTTGTATGGTAAGTCATAAGCTCAAGCAAACCCTCAACTCCCTGTACCTCCTTTCCCAGAATTCATAAACCATACCACCTACCTTTCTTATGTTAGTTAACAATTGTGCTACTTCAAGCAACATATTGTGCATCTGTTTTGTAGTGCTATGTCTTTAAGGTAAACACTTTCTGCTTTATATGCCGGGGTCCAGGGCGGAGCCTCGATTACGAAGTTAGGTAAAAATTAGGTAGGTTTGGTTGGTTAGGTTCTGTGCAGTGTCATTTATATTTTCTTGTTTAGTATCATGCAAATAACATCTCCATAAATTTTGGTACAATTTCATAAGTTATTTCTGATGCTAACCATCTCCTCCACCATTACCTTTTTATTCTACTGGAAATTCTTCCATATTGAAGTGTAGCCTTGAAAGCTAGCTTTAGTATTATTAGGTAAAATAGAACCATGGCTACAAGTTGATCAGTGACAGCGAGGATAAAGTTCATTCCCAATTTCATAATCACATAATTTTGAAAACCCAAACTACTATAACTATACACAGGGCTGCCATGCACAGGCCAACCGGCCTATTGCAGACTCCTTATTTTCTTATGTTACCAAGGGATATTTTTGGAAACAGTGGAACAGTCGGCTAACACCAGAAGTAGTAGTTAGATAACGTTAATCTTGTCCACAGATTTTCTTTGAATGATAATAAGTACTGGTAATAAAGAACAATATGACAACTTTATTATTTTATTTATAAATAAATATATATATTTTTTTAGTTTTCCTCTATCTACAACCATAAATCACCTGTAAGGGGAAGGGTATCAAAGATTAGGGAAATTACGGAGTAAAACACAGCAAGAGCTGATCATATGACACTAAAGTAATGTCTTTATGTGCTTTGGAGACAAAGAAGTGAATTATTTATCGTAAATATTCCACAGAAAAATCTGCTCTGGCACATGTTCTCGGTCGAAGTGCACTCTCACATCCACAAAAAACGTAAAATTACACCAAGCCGCCTCAAGAAAGTTGCTTTCATTGGTACCAGATATCAAAGGAAGTACTTTCTATTTAATATGCCTGGGAGTCCTGCTAGGAAGTTAGGTAATGTTGAGTAGGCTTCTTTGGTTAGGTTGGTGGTAAAAATTTAGTTCCCTGTATTTAAGTATCCAAACTAACCTAACCTAATGAGTATTATTATCGTTTTGGTCCTGCAGTGAATTTTAGGATTTTAAGTTTAGTTTAGGTTAAGTTGAAATTATGTTTTTACGATGGCATTTGATGTGTTTTGAACGATTCTGACCTACTTCCAAATACGTGTATGAATCTAAAATAATACCAGGTTGATTAGGTCGTATATATCATTGTTATTATTTACTATCATCCAAAAAACATGTGGAAAAATTAATGAAATCGAACTACTCCTTCTGGTGTTAGCCGTCTGCTCCACCTTTACAATATTTTCTAACTAATAAATCAACACGTTTATTTCCTTAACCAAATGCTTCTAACATTATATATTATTTAATGCAGATCAAGCTGTAAATGGTAAAAGGGATAAGCAAGTTCAGTTTGGTGAACTGTTGATTCTATAGAAGTGTCTCTTGACTATATACAACACAATTTATTACACAACATGATTATATAAAATATCTTTCCATGTGACCAATAACTAATATGAATGTCACTTGAAAATAAACTCACAAATACACTGACAGATACAGTCCATACGTCCTGTTGTGGGTCAGCTGACAGCTTGTAAACAACTGTCTCGTCTGACGTGTATGTCTCATCATTTGGGATTTGTATAAAAAAGTTTTACAACCACTACAAAGAACACTACTATTACTGTATATAGACGATATACTCTGTATGACTTTTGAATCAAAATTAATTCATGTTACTTGCTATTTAGCTTATAAATATTATTACAGGGATTATAATCTGAGGGCGGGATATTTAAACCAGGGTTGCCAGATGTACGACAAGCTTCACGCCTTCTCACGGCCAAATCGGCCAAAACTTTTTGGATGGGAAGCACAAGGCTATTTTTGCAATCCACACAAAATTAAAGTATCCCCTACAATATCCACTTAAAATGTCGTAATAAAACCAAATTTTCACTTAGAATTGAGAGCCCAATAATTACATAAACATAATATTGTAGTGGATTCCTCCCCTACAAACGCTGTTTGTCCTGAGTAGCCGACCCCGCGAATTCCCCAGTGCTTGCCTCGTGGTCTAGGTCAACCAGCGCCGCCATACATCACGGAGCGGGGGTCAACTACTAAGCCAAGCCTACCCCCGCTATTTAAGACCTGACCTCGTGGTGACCTGTCTCTTTCTATCTACACCTCCTCCACTCCTGCCTGGCGGCCCTCGCTCCCGCCGGCGAGCATGGCGACCCACAAGCTGTCCTTCTCTGAGCACCCTCACCAACCAGCTCTCTCTACTCAACGCTTGTAACCATGCTGCCTTCCCAGCACCAAGCTGCATTGTACATCCAATACAACATGTATACAGAGAGCACATTGTGAGTTTCCTTTCTCCAACCCATCCTGAGTGTGAACCAAACATCTCAAACCCCACAATGGTGACCCCCGGAGTGACCACTCACACAGGATGGAGGAGAAACAGATCACGCTCCCAGTCTTCAAGCAACATGGAAGACTGGCTTATCCACCCAGAAGCAGCTTTCATCGGCTCTACAGCTACTGTCTCTACACCGCAGGTTAGACACCCTAGAGCAGCACTGCTTCTCTAAGCAGACACCAGCTCCTCTTCCTGCCCCAAGCACTATGTCCTACCTACCCCAGCACACCCGTCTTGCCTCAGACGCCGCCCCCGGCCCTACAGTAACCCCTGCCGCCCCTGATGCGGCCTCTGTTCCTGAGTGCGGACCCACACATAAGAACATAAGGTGTTTTTTTAATGTGAATCTTTGCCTAATTTCAACAACATACACAGTCACCAGTGCATTTCATCTGGACAAGCGAGATGAATAGTTTAGCCTTCAGGTTTGGTTAGGTCAGGTCAGGTTAGGTTAGGTTGTCTATGAATCCATTCAATTATATGTATTGTGAATTGTGATTATTCACAGGAGCCTCTATGGCTAGTCGGAAGTTTAAAAAAAGAGGTACATAAAATTATTGCCATTAAGGCAATACTGTATAATCCAGCTGCAACTTATTTTTTGCTATTGAAGGGTAATAAAATGCAATAAGCAACAACATCTTACTTTATTTTTCAGATAACATCTTAGAAAAATACAAAACCGGCCTCCAACAGTCTATCCGGCTACGATTTTCAGTGCCAACTTTATCAAAGTCAATGTGGCTGCAATTCTTACAAAACTGTCTTCCATTTGTCTGTTCCAGTCGTTACTCATAACATTCTCACAACCGACTTCGAACAGTTGAGTCAACCTGCTGCATAAAAAAAGCTTAAAAAACAAGTTTGTTCCAGTTGTTACTTTCACAAAATTTACGTCTTTCAATATCAATCTGACTGTAACTCACAAAAATCTGCATGCTTCTGTTTCCATCTTACTTTCATTACAGTTTCACATTAGCTGCTTCCAGCAAGGTCTATCTGGCTGCTGCAGCTCCCACAAGACCGGCTACAAAAGAACATCTATCCCGCTACATATCAACAATATCTCTCTCTACCATGACCGAGATCTTGTAACTGATACAGTTATTTGGCAGACTTGTCAGTTATTGAGTAGAATTTAGTGTTTGTCTATAACTTGGTGGTTTTTTATAATTTTTTGGATTTGTCTAGTTTGGTGGATCTGTTTACAATTTAGTAGATATGAGTTAATAATGAGTATAATCTGGTAGGCTTCACAATTGCTTTATACAATTTAGTGGATTAGTTAGTTAATAATTTAGTGGAATAGTCAGTTAATAGGCATAATTTAGTGGAATTATCAGTTAATAGATAAAATCTTCTGGAGGTATGTTCGACATGGGAAATCTATTTTAGATGTGTACAATGATCACGTTTCAAAATTATTCGCTTTTAGTGTCAACAATATGGTCTTTCCTGAAGTAAACTAAAAAAAATGGTTTTTGCTCTAAGGCTTAAGCTGTCAACATTGTGGCTTCAGCTGACCTAAATCAAGATAATGGTTTAATGGATCTGCTCCGAGTAGCTGGGTGTAAACAATTCGTTAAGAGGTCATATATGGGGTTTAAATTTCGCACGAATCCAATTTTTGGTGTGTGGTGTCTGTAAAAAGATGTTTGCACAGTATTGTAGGCCTATTTACCGGCTGCAAAATCAGTGTCATGCCAATTCTGAAGTACTGAATTTAAACATTTACGTAAATTATGTGTTGTTGATATGGAAGACAAACAAAAAAATGCTGAATATGAATCTTTTCCCCTGCATTTCCTCCAATATAATAATTTTTCCCCATAGACATACTACAGTATAACGTCTCCTATACACATATACTGTATACAGTTCACAAACAATATCATACCAATTCTGAATCCGTGCTGTAACCACTTGGTGTTCAGTTCTTCCGAAGACAAATGTTCCACAACTCAAAAAATTTGTTGGGTGAGAAAACACACAAAATAATAAAATAGGCTTATGAAATTATACTAAGGTAAATATAAAAACTAAACATGGGAATTGTATAATAATGACTTAACACACACAAAGAAGACATTTAAACTACTGCAAGTGCAATATGATTTTATAACTACACGATACCGAGCCTTATACAATACTGAACTAGGGAGACAATGAGTTGGACATAGCTGCGTCTGTGCTGAACTGGTTGTACGCTTGGCAGCCTATATAATGAGACATTTACAGAAAATACAGAATTCTCTCACATGAAAAACAATATTTGTCAGTCAGTCACAAAAGAAAGATATTGGGCTGACCAACAGACAAAATCCAAAAGAATATTTTACGTATATCAGCTAATATTTCAGAATAGTAAATAATAATGATTAAGAATTCAATAAAAGCTGCTTTAGTTTTGCCTGGTCAAAAGTTCTCTTTATCAGTTAGAGTCAGTAAAAGATTGAATCGAGCAGCTAATGAATAACGTGGTCAAACAGTCAGCAAATCAATAAGTTGGTGAATCGGTCAGTGAGACAATCAGTTGGTGAGTCAATCAATTTGAAAGTGAATCTGTTGGTGAATCAGATAATAAATGACTGACTAAGTTGGTGAGCCTGTCATTGAGTCAAGCTGCTAGTGAGATGGTGAATGAGTCAATCAGTCAATGAATTAGTGAGTGAGTTGCTGAATCAGTGAGTCCGACGTTAAGTGAATGAGCCAGTTAACGAATCAGTTAGTTAATGAATCATGTAATGAATGAATCAGGAGGTAAAAATGTGTAATTCTGTTACTGTTGTCAGGAAGTGTGATGGAAACCCAAGACATGATGAATGGAGAGATGTAGAAGGAATACACAGCAAGTACAGAGCTGAGGAGAAGTTATGTGAAATAATTAAGGCTTAATGGCTTGGGTCTCAGAACTCATTGTCATTTGTCTTAGTGTTTGAATCTTCTTAAAACCACTAGTGGCAGGACTCCGTGTTGGGGTGGTGGCACAACTTTTTCCCTGACCAAGTGTCAAGTTGACTTAACAAAAATGAGAACTAATTGGTCTGCGGAGCACCCATCCTTATATGAATCAGATTTCCATATTACAGTTTACGAGGGGTGGATTGTTTTATATTTGTGTGTGTTCTGTAATGTTTACCTTCATGAGTTGACACGAGATTTCTTGAAATAGTCGGTGATGTGTGTGTGTGTGAAGAAAGAGGAGAGAGTGAGAGACAGAAAGTGGTTCACGGTTCGTGAATATTATCTTTGCCTAATTAGATACAGTACTGGTTCCACATGGGACAGAAATATATATCTGCTTAAAGACAATTAGTTGTTTCTTTCCAATTATATATTTTCATCCAAATGATAATTTTTTATATAATCATCTGAAAGGTTGCATTTGGACAATTTAAAATAACGTTTATTGAAAAAATAATAGGAGAAAGTATCTCATTCAGACTAGAAAGGCACAAGGCGGGTCTGGTGTTTTTGTAGGCGTGGCCACAAGTTCTCTAAGTCGAGTTATTCCATCGCTGATTGGTGGAGGCAGAGGCTCTGGGTAGGGAGTGAATGTCACAAGATCCCCTTCGGAAGTTGGGAGAACTGTCGTGACTGGCTGGGTAGTGTTTGTCTTGGTATCTGACGCCGACGACTGACTAAGGTTGGGCGAATGTCAGGACTCCAGCATGTGGGCCACCTCACGGAACCCACCCAGGAACTTGGCACTCCCACTGCAACTCTCCAAACCTGGCACAAAAAGCGACAATGATCTTTTAGTATACCTGTACAGGTATATACTGTATGTGATACAGTAAACTGCTAAAGTCCTGTTTTCGAAACTCATTTCTATAGTGCTCTCTTTTATCATCATATATTATTATTATTATTATTACTGAATTATTGTTATCCATTTCTAGTGCGACGTCAAAATACTTTGAGTTAAATTTCACTTCATTTATAGTGGTCCTTAACCATTCCTCACATTTACTTATATGAAACATAAGATTATCACTCCCTCCTCACATTCACTTTTTGACACAGACATACTCAAGACATTCACTTACAAGAAGAGAGTGACCCGGGGGATGATCCCTCACCCTCGTAAGCATAGTTCCTGAGGTCATCGCCAGGGCTGGGAGTCCTTGTGCCCCCTCGACTCGCGCCGTTCTTGTTTCTGGAGGGTGTCATCTCCCTCCCTTTATCTCCTCCCCCTTGGTGGAGAGGAACTCCCGCCATGGTCAAGGAGCTGCAGTAGCGCCTCTGGTCCTCCATACTGCTAGTGACTGATGCCGCGTCCACTTGTAATACGTCCACGTCTGGTGAAGAAGGAAGATAATAGTGTATTTATCTGTTTATGACTTCCACATTGTAATCCTAGTCATTTTTCTAGATTTATATAAATGGTAAGTTTCATCTAATTTCCCCGTTTTTTTTATTTTTCCCATTTTCCTGTAATTAATGGTTTATTCTTAATTTTTTATCCTTTTCATTGGTAGTGAACTACTGCTGAAACTCTTGAATCTGAGTGAATATGACTGAGAAAGACGAGGAAAGTCATAGAAACTTGATGGTAATAACTGTTGGAAGGGTGCAGTGGTAGAGCGGTTACCGTACTGTACAGTGTACAGCCTATTGGTCCTTAATAAACTCAAGGGTGAATATAAATCTCGCTTTAATTTGGGGGTGATAAGTGATACACGGACCACGAGGTAGACGCCGTGGGTTAGTTCTTAAACCCAAGAAGTACAGTATTTGGTAAGTTTAATGTTTTGTGTATAATATAATAATAATAATAAGGATAATAATAAAAATAATAATAATAATAATAATGGTTTATTGAAAGAACATGGTAACCCAAAAGGCTGAAAATTTATAGTCAACAGAGATGAAAGCTATATACGGTAATTAGGGAATGGGTCACTTGATTGCTAAATAATATACTACACAAATAACATAAGTGGTGTGTTTGTGTATCCATTACAAAACAAAGAAGATATTTTTTTTAGAAAAATTTCCCTATTAAAATATTGTGACGTACTGTAGGAGGCAAACATGACAGTGTGCTATATAAATGACAATAATACCCTGTACTTGGATAAAGATCAATATTTAATCTAGGCTAGTAGGCCTCCCGAGTAAGCCATGGACAAGATATTAAGTTATAAGAGATGAAATTATAATTTAATTACAGTATGTACAATGATAAGAGAGGTGAGAGGAAAGAGTTCCATAGTCGGGAATGCGAGGGATGAGGGAGGTGAAGGATGTTAAGTTTGACTAAAGGGAACTTGAAATTAGTTTGGCAAACACGAGGGAAAATGATGTGCGTTGTGAATGGATTGAAAAGAGTACCGGTAATGGTTTGGAATTCATTAGCACCCTAACCGCAGAAGTTGCACTAGCAAAGTGAATGTGAAGATATGGATCATGTGAGATGGAAGGGATGAATGGAGAAAGGAAAGGAATGGCTCTCTCCCTGTTTTCTTGTGTTATAATTAGAGATTCCTTAGTTACTGAGAATTATCTGTTGACCATACCACCCTACTGTAAAAGCATGAGCATTATGGTGTTAGGGGCTTACCCCACAAATGGTTTCCTTGTATCTATCTAACAGGAAGTAGTATGTCGGCTATAACAATCAACAATTTGACTCATCATTTATTTTGTATGGCATCCCTCAAGGCTCCATTTTGACCCAGTACAGTTCTTGTTGTACATAAATGATGTGGTCCACTCCAGTATACTCGTAAAATGCAATTTATATGCAGATGACAGTAAGCTTTATGCCAGTTACTCATATCTCCATTCCTTGATGAGAACAATGAACAGTAAATTAACTAAAGTGAGGAACTGGTTAATATGTATTAAAATGACCTAAAAAAACAACTACTTCGGAACTGTACCTAATCATTCACAGAATAAAAAACTTACTCCCAGAGCTGGACTCCCTGTACCTCGGTAATACAGTCCTCAAATGTGAACAAAATACCAAATCCTTTGGGGTTGTTGTTGTTGATGATAAACTAAACTGGACAAACCACATACAAGCCATTCGCAATAGTCAATAAACAGAGTGGGATCCAGTACCACACTCGTCAGTCATTCACTTTTTCACCAATGAAATAAATCTACTATAACCTTGTTTACCAACAATTGATTCACTGTCATACACTATGGGGAGGGGACCTCCGGCTCCACGAAAACAAAACACCTGGTTATTGTCCAGAAAATATTTGTGCTGACAATGACCTATTGAAAAAAAAATCGATTTGCTAAATTGAAAATGTTAAAATCTGAGGGTATCAACACTTATTGTTGTGCTATATTTGTTTACAAATCAGTAATCACTTGATTGAGAAAAATTATTTCCAGTTCTGGAATAACCAGAGGTACAACTTAAGATACTCAGACCTACTAAGACCACTCTCTCCCCCATGCACTCTTCTCAGTCCCCTCCATAAAATGTGGTGTTGTCATGATCATAATGACGGCTAACCTGTTAAACTAATGATCCATATTACGCTTACACGTCCACAAAACCTTCTGAGTCTTCCAGTGGGAATGTCCTCCCTTCTCCCTGTTTCTTTGATGACGTCATCGAGATGTCGTATGTTTGTTGACCAGTTGTAAACTCTTTCTGCTACCGAGAACCTGTAAACCTTTTTTTTCACCTATGATTAGCAGAGACTCTGATAATTATAGTGAAATTGTGGTAGGGAGGTTAACTGAGGAATGAGTTGATATTCCTGGAAGGGAACTTTTGAAATCGGTTCCTCAGGTTGTAGCAAGGCGTTGCGTGTTGGGACCCGTTGCCATCCAATCTTTTGTTATCAATTTAATTCTTGCTTTTGATAGCTCAGTCAGAGCATTGTTTGTAAAGATAATAGTAGGGAATGAAACTGAGTTCGTAATCTCAGTTTCAAACGTCAGAGTGTTACAGTAACGTAGTACCAGAATCCTGAAGGATAGTGAATGTAATACCGATTTTCAAGAAGGGGGATAGATCACTATCCTCTAACTACCGCCCAATCAGTCTAACATCAATAGTGGGCAAATTACTGGAAGCAATCATTTCAAATTCTATTCGAAATCACCTAGAGAAGCACCGATTGATCAATGATTCCCAGCATGGCTTCACAAGCGGACGTTCTTGTCTAACTAATCTATTAACATTCTTTTCATCAGTTTTCGAATCGGTGGACGAGGGGCACAATTATGATGTGGTATATCTCGACTTTAGCAAAACCTTAGACAGAGTCCCCCACGAAAGACTAATTAGAAAGGTAGAAGCTCATGGCATCAAAGGTAACATCCTCAAATGGATTAGGGCGTGGTTACAGGACAGGAAACAGCGAGTGAGCATTAACGGCACTAAGTCCCATTGGAGCAACGTCACAAGTGGAGTTCCCCAAGGCTCAGTACTTGGACCATTATTATTTATTATATACATAAACGACATAGATATCGGCATAGACAGCAACATAAGTAAATTTGCTGATGACACTAAAATAGGACGTGTTATTAAATCTGACGAGGACTCCACAAAACTACAGGAAGATCTAAACAAATTTTTCGAATGGTCTGAAAAATGGCAGATGAAATTCAACGTGGACAAATGTAAAGTACTCAGTATAGGAGATGTAAACAGGGAAACCAGATACCAGATGAACAACGATGCCATAGAGAAATCCGACTGCGAGAGAGATTTAGGAGTAATGATAAGTAGGAACCTTAAGCCAAGTAAACAATGTGTTTTTGCTCGTAACAAGGCTAATAAAGTACTTGGGTTCATACAAAGGAGTGTTAGTTACAAGACTAGCGAGGTCATCCTAAAACTGTATCTTGCTCTTGTGAGACCACACCTGGATTACGCAGTTCAGTTCTGGTCACCGATTACAGAATGGATATAGAATCCTTGGAAAGAATTCAGAGGAGAATGACAAGACTAATCCCGGGCATTAGGAACCTTGAGTATAGAGACGGGTTAAAGCATCTTAATTTGCACTCCTCGAGAGACGTAGAGTGAGGGCGACCTGATAGAGTGTAAGTGGAAGTCAGGGCTAAACAAAGGGGACATTACAAAGGTACTCAAACTATTCAACCAGGAGCGAACTCGTAACAATGGTTTTAAATTAGACAAATTTAGATTTAGGCGTGAAATAGGTAAACACTGGTTTGGAAACAGAGTAGTGGATGAATGGAACAAGTTACCAAATATCATCATTAACTCGAATACGCTGAATAGCTTCAAACATAGGTTGGATGCTTATATGAGCAATAGGGTTGGGTGTAAACGGGACTGCCCAGTATGGGCCAATAGGCCCGCTGCAGTTTCCTCCATTCTTATGTTCTAGGTGGAATTTGTGACTTTAACGGGGGTGAAAGGCGGTGGTTGCTTTTTCAAACCAGTCAGCGCCATGCTCCTCCACCCACAGGTCCCTATCGCAGCCTAGGACGTGTTTGTAGCGTGGATGACGCATCCACTAGTCTGGGGAGATGTCTGAGGTCCAGTAGAGTCGGGTATCCCTGTGAACCCCGACCGTTAGAAGCTCTACTACCACCTATGGGGCCCATAGCTGGCCAGTATTCCCCCTGACGCCATGCCCCGTGGTAAACCCGGATCGTCAAGCCCACAAACCACTGCCAGCCCCATTATTGGTGGATGAGTACAGTACATAGCTCAGTAGGGCTGTTGGTGTGGTGGTGTTAGTCCACCGGAATTATCGGAGTGTTGGAAAGTGTCACTTGGTGATGAGACTCCCATGGCGGCCGCTGGAGTATTGCCCCTGGGGTATTGAGTGTTGTACTGGCAGGTGCCACAGGTTTATTGGTGCTACAGTGCTGTGAGAGTATGTCTGTTTTGGTGTGGGTACACTCGGTAGTGGAGCAAGTAAATTGAGCCTGAGGGCAGGGTACCAGGAGTTCCTATTTTGGGTGCATACAGCATCTTTCCTGTAACCGTTTTTGTGTCTCAATATACAGTGTATTTGTATGTGGGTCTATGATTCACCTAAAGTATTCACCGTTGTTCTCTCCCTAATACTCGATACTATATTTACATGTACCCATGGGCCTTCCTCTCACGTCACGCTACCAGGTCAGAGTATCAACGTAAGTTGTAAGAGTGCCAAGCCCTCACAGGGTGGCAGCTTGTGTTGAGCGTTCTTACAATTGGTGGTCTCAGTGGTCCAGCAGTAAGTAGTAGCAACCCGCGCTCTTACAGTGTGGAGGTGTGGAACAACTTACCCCCACCAATCTGAGCAAAAACTATGCTCTCTTCCTTTAAGTCTAAATTATCTCCAAAGGATATCTATTGTCCAAGTATTAATAATTTTGTAACACCTTAATACTTTTACTGTACCGTTGGGAACCATTATATCTTATATTGTCACACTGATATAAATTACCACTACAATACTGTAATTATATACGAGGGTGTTTTGTCCTTAAGGATTGATCCTGACTGTATTCCTCTCTTTGTTTCACCCCGACACAACCCATGTTGTATCGCTTCCACCCACTTACCAGATTACTGTACAGTACGTATATCAACTCTGCTGTAAAAAGGTGTGTGTGTGTGTGTGTACCTTCATGTCTGTATCTTATTTATTTATTTACAGGGTACTATTTACAAATTCATCCATCTATCTATTTAATTAATAATGCATGCGGGTACAGCTCGTTTAACTGTCAGGTTGGTGATTGGTTGCAGCAAATACTAAAACATACTCCAAACCAGACTACACCAACCAACATAACCTAAACTTACCAACACAACCCAACTAAACATACCCTAGGGTGGTTAGGTTAAGTGTGGTTGGTTAGTTTACATTTTGGCTGGTTGGTGTTGTCTGCGGTCACCCTGAGAGCTGTTGTAAAAATCCCTGATTTATAATAAGAACATGATGTCAGAACTTGGCAGATGAACATTTTCTGGCTACCTGCTTAACAGACTTACCAGCAATGTTGGGGTTCTTGGTGGTCCAGGCTGGCTGACCATTGGCCTTTGGAGGCTTAAGCAACTGTAGCTCCAACAGATTAGGTGTGTGGGTGGAGGGTGGCGACGTCTCCTCCTTCACCCCAGAGTTCTCCTTCACTTCCCCCGCCATGCCTCTCCTCACTGCCGACCTCTTGTGGTGTTGGTGCAGTAGGAAGGCACAGATCAATACTGCAACATGATTCACATTCATCAACTTTACTCAGAAATGTAAATGCGAGTAGCTTACAGATTTACGTTTAAGGTACAACTAGAGTAATTTCTCTATGGTGAATCATTACCAGGTCAAGAAGGATCGCGTGAGTAGGGTGGTCAGTGCTGTTTTTATTTTGTAACTGTGCAACTGGAAACCAATTGTATTTTCTCAATTTTAAAGAATTATTTGCTGTAAATTATACTTCTGCTCAGTATTAAATGCCCCTGGCAGCAGAAGCAAATAAATAAAAAACAACAACTATGTAACTGTGTGTGTGTGTGTGGGTCTAACTTTAGAACAGGGAGAAGTACAATAATCATACTTGTTATTTATTGACCATGACAGTCCCTGGTAGTTTGCTTGAGTACAATCAAGTTTTCTTCAAGTCTAAAATTTAAATGATATTCTCATTATCAAGAGAGGAGAGCAGGTACTCAATTTAGAAGTTACTGCTAGGCATGCATGACTGTGTTTGCAGTTGTGAGATACACACAAATAAATACTGTGTCCAAGCTGACGATAATGTGTGATTACCTTGGAATGAAACAGTGGTGTGAGAATCTTTAAACATAGAGCTGTGTCACTTGACCAGCACCTAATGCCTGAAATGCTGTCTTTACTAAGAACTTCACAACTGTACCAATCTACTGCAGTATACTGAACTTAATGGCTGTTGTAATACAGTTTGGTGTACTAGCTACCCACGAAAGCATAAATTTGTTTCTGACTTCGACGGTAAATGTTCTTTATTTCAAACTTTTTTTCACCCATACCTTGAATGTTAATGTTTTCTAGAGAAATATAATTACATACATCAAATTCGGCATTAAAATGAACCTGAACTGGGTATCCTTAACAGGTATACAGTACTGTATTTGAATTTATATGTCAATGAGCTGCTAGGGGGGCGGGGTTTGTACCGTTAACTAAAAAAAATTGACTGTAGGTAGTCTTTGTTGTCAAGAAATAGATCTTTATACATCTCAAAATGACAGACTACTTGTGGACCTTGTGTTGAATTATAGGAGAGTCACAGGGGAAGAAGAGTAGGAAGTGACTCACGTAAGAGGAAGGCACACCACACCAGGATAGCGACCAGGGCTCCCAGAGAGAGTTTCAGCGAAGTCTCCCCAGCATCGGGCAGGTGACAATGCTGCCCACTGAACCCAGCTGGACATGCGCACACATAACCAGCTGCCAGATGGAGGAAGAGAATAGGATTTATGTATAAGCAGAAAAAACACATAAAAGGCAGTAATTAATAACAAAATGCATAATAGGACGAAGACCCATAAATAGATGAAAAGAAAAAGTAACAGGTCACTAGAAAGACATATACAGATCCTCAGCCCGCAGAGAACGAATCCAAATACCCTGTATCCAGTAAACAGTGAGAGACATGTACTGTACGCTCGATAACGTCCATAGTCTATAAGTCGATTCGATGGGGATGTCACTTGAGTCGGGGTTTGACCCTCGAGACTTATGAAATTTCTTCCGAACTTCTTCACAGAACCTGTGTAAACAGTCAGAGAAATAACAGACTAAAAATGGAGACAATCAGGAAAGTAGACACGCGATTATGGAGAAATACAACCAATAAACAGAGACACACTTAAAGAGAGAGAGAGAAATGGGCAGGCAGAGAGACTACTGTATTAAACAGGAAGGTGAGACAGATGATTAAGGTAAAAGAAAAGACAGGCTGAAGATTAGAGAAAGATAAACAGACAGGTAGAGACAAAAACAAACAAATATGTAAGGAGAACATACAGATAAGTAATATTAAACAAAGACAGAGAGCAAGAAAAAGATGATTAAACAGTAGAGACAGCAAGAGAAAATTGCTTAAACAGAAAAGTCGGAGAGATAGAGAGATATTTAATAAAAAAAAGACAGTCAGACTGAGAGACAGCTGGTTAGAGAGAAATGACAGATGATTAAGAAAGATGGTCGAAGTATAATGACAATAATATACAAAGTGATGATTAGAGAAAACCGAGTCATGCTGTTACCAGAGGGTTTGTTGAAGCAGGAGCCGCCGTTGAGACAGGGCCGCCACACACATAGGTCATGGTCGTGACACGTCCCTCTGCTATTGCTCAGGACCCGGCCCGCCCCGCACCTGTCACGGCACATGCAGGGTCAGTATGAATCTGAATCTGAATATATACCTGTGTACAGTGGCTGTGCATGTGTGTTAACTAGTCACAGGTGTAAGTTTTCCATTCATCCTTCGGAGTGCGAAGAATTTTCAGGGGAGTTACACTTACCCACACTGGTACGACCTCCAGGTGTCGACACAGGAGAGCGGCGCCCTACAAGAGACATTGGCGCAAGCTGGAGGGGCGCCACACCCAGGCTCCACGCCTTTGAAGACGCCCGCCTCAGTCCATGCCGTGGTGTTCACTGTCGGGGGCAGTGGTACACTCCGCCCAGATATCCTCAGGTCGTCAATACAACCTGGAGGAGGAGAAAACGAGGGTGGGATCAAACAGTTGTTCTTCTCATGTTCTTATATTATTTTTTCTCGCTAAAGGATAGGCGCCTTGGACATATAAAAGATTGGCTGAGATAGTACAGAGATATATATCCCAAGTTTTTGTCTGAATATTTGTAAACTAGCTTATTGATTTTAAATTCTTGCAACAGGTTATCCATTCCTCTTCTGGAGTATCTTTGTTTTTTGTTTAGTTATTTGCATTGTTGCATTGGTATGGTTGTGTGAAGGTCCTGAGCGGTAGCTTGAATGTGGCTTCACTCCGCCTAAGGGTCTAAAATCATCTCACTACCACACAAGCCACCAGAGCTCCACACACCATCATGGTAGTCGCCGTGGATCTGGAAGACACTGACACCAACATACTCCGGTGTTCCCCCGACGTGAACGCCTTCCTGGTCATCCACCTCCAGCAGCTGCCGTCCCTCCAGAGACACGGAGGCATTATATAGGTCGCCGTCCCCATCGTCCACTGCCAGGAAGGTCGCTGTCCCCTGCCTGAAGAACACCAAATCCTTCGTAAGATCAAATGAATATGTTTTCTCTTATCACAAACTCCAGATCAAATGACGCTTGTCCCCAAAACATAAAATATCTATCGTTCAAGTGCTTTACTGAATAACTTCATGGACGGATATTTCTCAACGTAAATATTAAAGTCAGGTTATCTCCTCTTTCGCTCTATCTCTCACTCTTTTTCTTTTACTGTATACCGTCTCCTCAGAAATCAAATCCACTTATCTACAACAAATAAGCTCCCAGAAAGTGATATCCATTTCAAGTAATGATTTAGGATTTACTAGAAATAGGTTTTATTAATTGCAGGTAAACACAGGTAGTGTAGCCTTGTACACGCATCAGGTGAAAATTTTGAGTTATTGTACAATAAAAAGTTTCAGTATATATATATATATATATATATATATATATATATATATATATATATATATATATATATATATATATATATATATATATATATATATATATATATATATATATATTTCATGTAGATCCACAATGAAAACGTGGATAAGATAAATCTTGATAAAATCACACGGGAAAAGGGAAACAACGGAGCACCTTAGCTTTCGTCTTTATTCAAGACATCTTCAGAGGCAACTGGATTACATGGACAGAGAGAATATACAGGGTGACCTTAAAAACATGAGGTCAGGTCATAATGATGTCATCCACTAATCCCTACACCAACACACACGTAGAGGAGCTTAAGAGAAGGGGGGTGACGTGACTAGCCAGGTCAGGTCAAAATCCCATTGCTTGGGAAAAAAGTTTAGAAGTATTTAAATCATCTTGTGTCACAGAAAGACTTCTGGTTGAAGCTAGTCTGATTAAGGAATTAAAATCAATAAACCTTAGTGATGGTCAGTTCAAAACTGATAATATGTTACATAAATTTATTTGTCAGTGGCCCAAGGTTAAAAATGCTTTGAAAACCTTTGATCTAGATGTATGATAGTTATTTAGTGGGTCCCTTATTTTATATATATATATATATATATATATATATATATATATATATATATATATATATATATATATATATATATATATATATATATATATATATATATATATATATTTTTTTTTTTTTTTTTTTTTTTTTTTTTTTTTAGCTCATAATGACCTTGAGTTATTTTATGTTTCATAGAGTATTAGGTTTCATACATATTCAAATGTAATATCATATATAATCTAAATTAGCACACGCTTACTGGTATAATCTATTACCAAAGGAAAACCAGACTTGGTAGTTTGATTTAATCTGACCTGATCTCTCCTGACCTTACCTGGATGTGGCTGCCGTGTGCCAGTGACCGTCCGTAACCTTGGCCCTGGCAAGACACAGTGACCTGGCAGGGTCTGGGTGAAACTGGAGAAGGACACACAGCTGGCCATCCACCAACTGCAAGGTAAAGTGGTCTTGACCACTCTGCGATGACAACCCAATCAGCTGTCCTTGCTGTTGTCTCGTGCGGAATCTAAACCAGGCAAGGATAGAGGGGGTGAACGTCAAGTCCAGTCTAAAAATACAATGGGAGAATTACAAAGAAAAGAAAAGTTCAGAAATGCGTGTTTCAAAACTCACTGAAATACACTCCTGGCATCGGGAAAATGTGAAATAGAATGAGGAAGATCTCTCTGTTCATAAAAAAAAGATAAAATATCATCAAAGGCAAGTGCCGAGTTTTCGAATGAACAATGTCGAATTCTTGTTTGTTGCTGGCGTGTTGCTTAGTTAATAGTTAGCTATCAGTAAGTGTTACTATGCTATTTAAGCCTCCTGTTCTTTTCTCCTCAGGAACCGAGTTACTGACAGGGGGACGTAACCTTAAACCTGTGCATATTCTGGCTGTGTTTATTCTTCCATAAACTGTTAAACAGACGTTAACAATCTGCAGTTTTCCTGCTTGTGGTTCCATAGGTAGTGTACTCACATAGGTAGTGTACTAACACAGGTAGAATAATCACATAGGTAGAATACTGACATAGGTAGTGTACTCACACAGGTTGTGTAATCACATAGGTAGAGTACTCATATAGGTAGAGTACTCACATAGGTAGTGTACTTACACAGGTAATGTACTCACATAGGAAGTGTATGTGAGGTGATTGTTTTCTTGCATGGAATATGACACATGTGTATTTTTGATGGCTCTTTGACGGCTGAGATACAGGTACGAAAAGTCTTACTCCTGACTGCACTTAGTCATCTCTCATCTCTGTTCTTCTCTCGTCTTGGTATGAGAAGCAGTTCTGGATCTTTATCTCTTCTCGTTCTCTTTCCTTCTCTTTTAGACAAGCAAAGGAAGAACCTCGTTTTCTTGAACAGAGTGCACAAGGTGGAGGAATAGAGATCTTTATTTGCAAGATAAAGCTCTCTCTCTCTCTCTCTCTTTCAACTCAATCATATACAATAGTACTGTAATTAGTTCTTCTATTATTATTTCTCTGTCTCTGATGATATCAGCCCAGTGACGCACGAATCATGTACACAAAAGCTCCAGTTATCATGTAAACCATTGTCAAGTTGCTTAAGGGTCTTCATATTTCCCTCTCTCTCTTTCTATCAAGACTAACAACGTGGGAAGCTTGTAGGAACGAAAACTAATTTTGTGTTTTTCGCCTTTCTCTTCCTCTTTTGTGTGTGTGTGAGAACAACGTGAGGAATAAAAGAGACTGGAGGAGGAACGGGGTGGAATGAGGATGAGAGGAGTGGGAAGAGGATGAGGGGAGTGGGAAGAGGATGGAGGAGTGGGAGAAGGAAGAGGGGAGTGGGAGGAGGACGAGGAGGGAGTGGGATGTGAAAGAGGAACTATATTTGATACATGAAGGTAACATACCAGATAAATGTGCATAACATTTTTATGAAACACTCACGTTTATCCTTGGCTTCCCTTACCATGAAAGGAAATGAATTAACACTTTTTGACCACAAGAACGAATTAATTCATATAAAGGTTCGACTATAAAAGCGAATAATCTCATACCAGGAGCAGTAGCTGATACCACAAATACAGTATGAGAAAGACAGCCAGGAGATGAGGTAATGTGACATATACTGAAAGTGATGGTGATGCTGAAAATCAACATGAATTGGTGAAGTGTTGAAAATTATCATACCTTTGTTTGACTGCAATGATGTTGAAAACTGTTGTACTTGATGAAATTTTCTTACCTAAGTTGAGTTATTGTACGTGAGGAAAATTTTCATTCATCAGAAGATTTACTATCGCATATAACTGTTGTTGTATATGACGAGAATTATTGTACCTGAGGGTGATGGTAGTGGTGTAGCCAAGGGGGGTGAAGGAGAGTGCCAACTTAACGTAGCTGTTAACCTGGAAATTTGTTGGAGTGGTGGGCGTGGCACAACCAGACCCCGCCCACCCAGGCTGGCACTCACACCTCAGTGACCTGGGGGACCCGTGGCATCTGCCAGAGAATGAAGGAAGCAGTTAAGATAGGCTACAGGTTCATGTAACCTGGAAAACGTATATCATCATACCATAAAGGTCAAATTATCGCAGTCTTGGATTTGAGATTAATACAAAAGGTTGAATATTTATAATGAAGAAGAATAAGTTCACATGACCCTGAACCCACAAACTCCTGACCTACCTGGCATGAAGACCACAGTGTAAACCTGCAGAGAGGCAGTCAGCAGCAGAACACCCAGGGGAACTGTGTCTCGCCAGGACGGCCTCCCCCATGTCCACCAGCTGAGGGAGGGGGGGGGGTGAAGGACAGAAGGAAGGATGGAGGGCAAGATAGAGGGTATGGAATATGTCATTACTATAGGTATTTTATGCTACTACACTGTAATGCTTTAATCACGTTAGCTAAAGGTGTACAAGTTTTTAATGAGATTGATATACTGTACTGTAGTAATTTTAGATTTATTACAGATTGTAAATGACCCAACAGATGCTTCTGACAGCTCTGGCGATGTGCTATTAATTCAGCTCAATAAAATATATGAGTAGTGAAAGTAAACAATAAGCTCACCCCTCCATTTATTCTCAAGTTCCTAATACATCCCCGGAAGGGTGGTGGGCGGAGTGGTGAAGGCCAGCCAAACGACGTGTGGGCGGGAGGTGGGTGTGCTAGGCCACCCACCTGCAGCGGCTGGTCTGTGTTGAGGACGCGGGCAGCCTTGGGTAATCTGGCGGCGCCTCTGCAAGTGTGGGCGTCTGGGAGAATAGTGTGGGTGGGGCTGGAGGGCTGCATGGGGAGGGCATCGACGCTACTTCCGGAGCACAAGTCCACTATCATCTCAACCAGCTGTAAGAGCACACGAATAAGTCCCACTCCCATGAATATTCAGTCACTAAAGGGTAAAAACCCACAACAATGATTATCCAACAGGTATTTAAGAAGTTCTCACTATTTAATGGGTATAACTAATAGCTAAATAAAATCTTAATATCAAGTGAATTAAAGGGCATGTGCCAATGTTCAGTAGACAGGTCTCATTACATACTGTACAGTATATATTTTAATTGAGGAGATGCAGAATATATACTGTCATCTTTATATTATATATAGCTGTATATGATACATAGAGTTAATACTAGAAGTCTCTCACTTCATCCTTCCATATGAGGTCTATCCTGTGCCAAGTGTTGTCAGCGAGGGAGTAAGAGGCATTGAGGGAGAGGGTGACGGCACCGCCCCCGAGGTCCAGCAGAAATGAGGGGCGGCCACCTCGTAGCTCCACCAGCACCACGTCGCTGGCCTGTCCTGGCAGGGAGCCTTTCACCGTGTCGGTGGGTCTTCTTGTGGCCATTTTTAGCCAATCATTAGCTTTCATGGGTCTCTGTTCGAAGTCAGTGCCTTGTCTTAGGGCTCCTTCAGTCACGTCCTTTATAACACTGCTGTCGGTTTGCCCCTCGATGTTAGTGGTCCCTACAGGGGCTTTATCTTCCCCAAAGGGCCCTGAGTAGAGCAATGTGCCATCGAGAGAGGTGGTGAGGATCTCCAGGCTTATGTGGACTTCAACACAGGCAGGGATAGAGGGGACCCATGCCCATCCGCCGCTGTCTGACGCCTCCCCGCCCCCTGGGTCGACTGCGCCCTCAAAGTACCTGCTGAGGACCTTACAACGGGAACCCCAGGTACCATAGGGACAGATACACCTGTGAGAGGAGTGGGCACATCCATGAAATGATTAAAAATATACATATGCAATGAGCAATACTTATTTAGAGGGAGGTGAATACACATACTGCATAAGGTAAAAATATGCATCTGAGGCTGGGACTTCACTTACCTGGTGCCTGTGGAGGTGGGGATACACCGCCCACCATTGAGACAGGTTTCAGAGGTACAGGTGTTCTCCAAGGCAAGTGTGGGTGTGACGCAACCACATCCACGATGCACGTGAACGCGGGGGCCCACCAGGGAGGATGAGTGGGCGTCCACCACACTGTACCCATCCTCCAGCACCGTCCTCGCCCAGCACCCCCCCACACACCCCTGTGGCTCCTTTGTGGGTGTGTTGTTGCTCTGGTGGGTGGACTCTTGACAGGTGGCCACACCAATGTCCTGAATACCAACGCCCAGGACTTCAGCCAGCTGTTGCAGGTGGAAATACAAGAATATCATTAACAGCTGTCCGGTTATGTATAAAAATTATCAAAATCTGCCTCTGCTTCACTAAAGGTAATGAAGAAGTGCTCTAAGCAGCATTTTTGCGGAGCTGGGAGTATACTCCTGGCTGCATATACACTAGTATATTAAGAGGTATTAAAATATTTATTTCATTCAAGTGGAAAAATTATCCATCACTTTGTCAGTGATGGTATAATCTGGGCTAACTAACATGGCTAATATTATAATCGTGTAGGCAGGATAATAGCTAGTAATACTGTACTTCATACAGCTGTGTAGCTAAATCTCACATTTCTCAAAGAAACCGTATAAAAGGAAATAGGTTTCCTTTAGATATGAGACCCAGCTTAAAAATGAAATCACAAAAAAGGGGAATCTTTTCCTCCCACTCAGCACCATCAAAGATGAGTACAATTATATCATTCAGCAATTCCTTTCTCCTAAAATTAGGTTTGTTTTAATTAACCTAAGCCACGAAGAAGGGTAGGTAGACCCTGTTGGAGTTATTTTCTTAAATTTTAATTTTTGTGATTCATATTTATAAGAAACACTTTTTACTTCACAAAGTTTCTTAAATAGATGAGTAGATTAACAGCGAGAAGAGTCTGAAGAAACAAGTAAACACTGCTAGTAAAAAAAAACAGTAGTAAACAAAGAAAAAAGTAGTAAACAAAGACAAAAGTAGTAAACAAAGCTGCAGCAACTGTTGCTGCAGGTTCCAGAAAATTTGAAAAAAAAAGTAGCTAGTATAGTGCAGGAGGTGGGTGCCTCGAACTGGTTAACTACGTTACCGATAAGGGCAAATGATTTCAGTCTCAATAAACAAGAATTTACAGATGCCATTGCTCTAAGGTACAGTTGGCCAGTAGAAGGTTTGCCCTCCCAATGCGTGTGTGGCTCTTCCTATGACGTTGATCACGCCATGGTGAGCAAGAAAGGGGGCTTCATCTGCATGAGGCATGACGAAGTAAGGGACCTCACAGCAAATATGTTGAAGGAAATCTGCCGGGATGTCATGGTAGAACCGACCCTCCTTCCTTTGGACGGTGAGATCTTCCAACATAGGACTTAAAGCACACCTAACGAAGCCCGTGTTGACGTCAGTGCTCGAGGATTCTGGACGCGGGGACAGCGAGCTTTCTTCGACATCAGGATTTTTGATCCCATGGCCACATGTCACAGTAACCTAGCTCTCGTTGCTGCACACAGGAGGAACGAGAACGACAAGATAAGGGCAAATGGGGATAGATTTCAAAACGTTTATCAAGGCAGCTTCACTCCTCTAGAGTTCATAACCTCTGGTGGGATGGGACCAAGTGCAAGATGTTTCTACGCCAGACTCGCAGAGGTGATCTCCGAACAGAAGCAGCAGCCCAAAGTTATGTTACAGCCTGGATGAGATGTCGACTGTCTTTCTCTCTCCTTCGGTCGGCTTTGCTTTGCCTCAGGGGAACGAGAGCTTCTGCCCCAATGCCGACAACTGTTGCAGATATTGACTATGAGGCTACAGTCACTGAATGCCGCATAGATCTGTGGCTCAACTAATTCAACACAGATAGGATAGCTACTTATGTATTAGGATATTTAATAGTAAGGTAATAAAATGGCGGCGAAGGTGTGGCTATTGGGGGAGGCTGGAGGCCACGTATAAAAAAAAAAAAAGACAACAGTAGTAAACAAAGACAACTAACAGGAAAAACAACGAGAAACTAACAGTAAAAACAATGACAAACTAACAAAAAAAACGAGAAACTAACAGTAAAAACAATGAAAAACTAACAGTAAAAACAATGAAAAACTAACAGTAAAAACGAGAAACTAAAAGTAAAAACAACGAGAAACTAGGTGCAAACAAGAAGGCACTAACAGTAAACAAAAAGAAGAGACACAGTAAAAGAGTAAGGAAGAAAACAAAGCAGGACCCACCTCCTTCCTGTGGTACACCAGTACGTCATTCAGATTACTGACGCCCGGAGATACCACCCACACCCGAGTAGTGGGCATCACCTGCTCCTGCCCCTGTCTTGATGTTACCCTCGGCATACCCACACTTTCCTCATCTACCCATGCCCGCACCCCATGTTCTCTGTTGTGTCCTTTCAGCCACGCCTGCAGTGTGACCTCGAGTCGATGTACTATGGAGTCTTGTACCTGACGAAGGATAGAAAATAACATCGTAAGTCCTGGGATAAATGTCTTGAGGTTAATTAAATCACTTCATTAAACAATAACCATTCAACCAACCAACCAACAATTCAAACAAACTAATAACCAATAAATCCATCAAACAAGTAACCTATCGATCAATCAATAAATAAACCAATTAATTGAATAAATAATCAATCAATCAATCAAACAATTGACTAATTAATCTAGCAATCAAATTACTTGGCCGTCTTCCTTGATTGCTTGGTAAGGGTCGACCTCGAGGGTGAGCAGAGTTGCCTGTGTGACGTCACGTGAGGTCACCGACTTGACCTCCACTGTGACGTTGGCCATGACCCCGTTTTGACCCTGGCTGGCATCACTGACCCAGAAACCCAACTGGTACCTGAGGGAGGGTGAAGAGAAGTTAATTTAGCTTGCCCGAGAGAAAGTGGGTAATAAAGACAACAATGAAGAGAACGAAAAGGGATGAAAAGTGAAGGTAAAAGGAGGGAGGGAAAGTTAATGGGTATGGAGAGGGACGAAATCTGTGGCAAATTTAATGGACAACAGAAAGGTGGAAAAAATGAATAACTAAAGGGAATGAAGGAAAGTCAAGGGTTAAAATGCGGTAAGGAAAGTGAGGGGAATTTAATGATTAGAAGACAGGATGGAAAGTGATGGAAACTAAGGAGTAAATGGAGAGAAAGAGAAGGAATGGATAATAGGAGGGGAGAAAGAGTGAGGGAGACGTAAGGCGTAAAGAGATGTAAGAAAATGTAAGATTATAGGGAGGAGGAGAGAGGAAGTTAGCAGTGGAGAATTACAAACAAAAAATAAAAATAAAAGCCACTGAAGACTACCAAGGAAAAACAGGAAGAGGTTTATGATGAGGAAAGAGGAAAAAACAGAGGCTTCAGAGAATGGGCAGGATGAGGAAGAACTTAAGAGGTCATCTGGTACTGTTTTACATTAAAGAAACACATTAATATACAATCATTTTTAACTAGATTACGTGTGCTGAGTAAACCCACTTCATAAACTGACAAATCTATTTACCAGGTGATACTTCACCTTAAAAACACACAGCTAATCCTGTATTATAGTCAAACACTGAATGTAACGTAAGAGATACAGTATTTATCTAACTGAAAACTCTTACTAATGCAATATCTCTCCCTACAAATAACCCGTTTTATATACACAGACAGACGTAAACAAAGTCAGAAATTCTGCCTTGAATTATGAATTTGACCTTTGTCATCCTTCTGAAACAATTTGTGAAGTAGTTTAATCCAAGTCGATCAATCCCTTTAAGATATATCGTCTTCACACAAACAAAAAATACATGTACACGCACAAAAAGTTATATATATATATATATATATATATATATATATATATATATATATATATATATATATATATATATATATATATATATATATATATATATCATTAGCCCAATAAAGCACGCGAACTTCTCCATACAATCAACACCTCAACCCGCCAGGATTCGAACCCACGGCCCACGACTGTGACCGGGGAACGCTACCTCTGGACCACCAGGATACTAAAAGCAGTCCTAGACTTTGTTATATTTCACACAAAGCCTGTTCAACGAGCTTATGGCGCCGTGAACCTCTAATGGGGACAACCCGTATCACGTAGGTGGTCAGAGTAACGTTTTACCAAATCCGGCTTCGAAACACAAGGATCCATATATATTTCATTAGCCCAATAAAGCACGCTGACTTCTACATCGTATCCTGGTGGTCCAGAGGTAGCGCCTCTCGGCCGTTAAGTCATGGGCTCAGGTCAGGGTTCGAATCCCAAGCGGTTGAGTGTGTTGATTGTATGTATGTATATATATATATATATATATATATATATATATATATATATATATATATATATATATATATATATATATATATATATACACATATATATATATATATATATATATATATATATATATATATATATATATATATGTATACAGTATATATATATATACTGTATATATATATTATGATGAGTTGTGTATTACGTGTGGGTGTCACCTGAAAGGGATGTGGTGAGACGACCACCTACTTGTACACTTATACTTAGTCGCTTTCAACTATTGTGCAACAAGTGTATGAGGATCACCTCCTGCACCTAATCACCTTCACCTACCGTCCAGGTGGTGTGTCGGGAGCCATGGTGAGGTCGCCGGTGGAGGAGGTGAGAGAGAACCCTGGCTGATGGTTTCTCCAAGAGTAGGTCTTGGAGGCGGCGTCCCAGTCATCAGGATCCTTTACGTATACCCTCCCCAGGGGCACCGTGCTCCCCTGAGGCTGAAGGGAGAGAAGGAGGTATGAGAGGGAGAGAGGTGGAGACACGCGGGAGAGGGAGGGAGAAGGGCGGAGACTCAAGAAAGAGGAAAAAGGACACAGTAAAGGGGGGAGGGAGGGAGAAGGAGGCATGAGAGGGTAGGAGAAGGAGACCTGATAGAAAGGGAGAAGAAGAAATGACGAGGAGGGAGACAGAGACATGAGGTAGAGAGAATGAGACATGTGAGGGAGGGAGAAGGTTAGAGACGTGAGAGAGAGAGGAGATATAAATGAGAAGGAGGGTGAGGGACAGACGTGAGAAAGAGGGGAAGAGAAATAGAGAGTGAGAGAGAGAAAGGGACAGAAACGCGGGAGAGGGAAGAGGCGTGAGAGTAGGGGGGGTGGGGGGAGATAAAGGAGCATGGGAGAGAGAATGGGACGGGAGAGAGATGGGAATGTGAGAGGGACAGACAGGCAAGGACACGTCAGAGAGAGAGAGAGAGAGAGAGAGAGAGAGAGAGAGAGAGAGTAGACGAGCAAATGGGTTGACCTGTACATTAATTATAACTCAATTAAGAAAACTGATCAGGAACACTTCATAATGGAATAAGTGAATGATTGATATTAATATTAACACTGGAAACTCTATCGGTTGTGAGGAATTGGTTCTACATAGGGGTAGAGTGAGGGCCATCCCCCCGGAGTCGTGTTAGTACGGGAGAAAGTTGGAGTACCTGGAGAAGACCCGTGGTGTTCGGGAGCGTCACACTGTATAGCACCTTTCTCACCTCTGACTCAACTACACACTCACACATTCAGTCGGCAGTAGCTAAGTGAGTGGCATCATTCATAAAATTTATCTAGTTGGAAGTAAAAATGAAATGGAACGAGACCGTGGAAACTACTACAATGTGGACAGTGACGCTCCTTATGGCAGTGCCTAACCTAGAAGAGAGTGACACTGACCTGGACGGTGTTGACAGTGACGGTCTTGGAGGCGGGGTACATGGGGTTGTCGTTGAGGTCGGCCACATGGAGTGTGAGGGTGACGGTGGCTGAGAGGGAGCCGGCGTCTCTCACCACCAGGGGCACCAGCAGCACGGGGCGCTCCTCCCTATCCAGCGCCCCTACCGTTGACACCACTCCCACCCCGCGACCTTCGTCCCCTCCTGCAAGGCGCGTGAGAGAGAGAGATTAATTAATAAACCTGCATTCGTGTGTTGAGTATAAATAATAAGGGGAAAAGCACAATGGCTGTATAAAACTGAGAATGAACTTACACGTTTTCTTTGCTGGGGGATTTGCATAATTATCCTGTTGTCAAGCTTCATCGAAATATACCTGGACTAGAAAAGCTTCGTTACATTATCCTGTTCCTGTTCCTACCATAAAAACAGAGATGAGTGATATTTTTGCTGACACCTGTGATCTCCACCTGGGGCTGTGATTAAGAACTTGAGCTATGGCTTTTACTTTGAGCTGTGATTATAAACTCAGAGTTATGTGTTTTTGAACTTGAGCTGTGAATAAGAACTTGGTCTGTGGTTATGAACTCAGAGCTGTGGTTATGAACTTAGAGCTGTGATTATGAACTGTGACCCTGACCTAAAGCTGTGACCCTGACCTAGAGCTGTGACCCTAACCTAGAGCTGTGACCCTGACCTAGAGCTGTGACCATAACCTAGAGCTGTGACCCTGGCCTAGAGCTGTGACCATATCCTAGAGCTGTGACCCTGACTAGAGCTGTGACCTAACTTAAAGCTGTGACCCAAACCAAGAGATGTGACCCTGAATTTTAACAATGTATCGTCCAAGTCTTAATATATTTGACTCAAGTGATATATTTTACCGTTTTAATGCACTTATTTACTTCAAGTGTCAGGGTCCCTTAGTGTAAGTTGTAAAAAAAAAAAAAACGCCATGTGAAACTATTTACATTTTGGGGAAAAATTATAAAGATTGATGGTAAAAAGGTTATTAGACCGAAAATAAAAATGTGACAGGATTAAGACATTCATAATTGTATATAGGTGTTTCGGTTATACATAGATTAGTAATGGTGAATCGGGAAGTGGTCATGTGTGGTGTTCATTTGGGGAGTAAACGTTAGTCGTATATATTTTTGATTTCGAAATGGTCGCCATAAATTAACAAATAGCGTCCTTTTCCGTTTTGTATAGGATTTATTTTTGATAATAACTGAATATCTTAGTTGCTTTAACTTCAACCTTGACCTGTGTGCTTATGTGGAAATAATTTAGTTGGAGAATAAAAAACATCAGTGAAAAAAAAAATGCAGCCAATTTGAAAGTTAGATTGACCTTTTATGTCTTTTTCACAGATTTCAATTATCTAGTCGACAATCAGACCTACACAGAGCTGTTCATGACAACACGCACGCTAACATTTATAATTTTCCGTAATAAGTGTGTTTTTTTTTTACTACACGTATAACAGTTCAGTACCGCTTAACAGGTTGCTACTATGAGAGACAGATGGTTGGTAGGAAGTGGTAACTGGTGTATACTGGCTTGACCCCATACATGGTCTACTTGCACAGCTGTTCTTGTTACATCTTTCAGAAAAACTGTTTTGGTTGGCGGTACAGTATGTCGTTGTTACCGGTCAAACAAATCAAGGCGAGTTTCATGTTGCGTATACATTCTTTAGTAACATCCATATCTGCTGTTATAATGCTGTCTGGAGATGTGCTGAGATGACGGTAATCTTCAGAGACATCTTCACACACGCTCTAGGCCTGCCATGTTGACCTTTATCGTAACCCCCCCCCCCCCAAAAAAAAACCCTCAGAAACCGTGTCATATCGCATGAAGGCACAGACGGCAGGGCTTATGAGTGAACCAAGTGATCTAGTTATTTCATGACTTGAGATCAGCGAAAGTCCTCACCTTTACAATAAACAAACCAGAAAGCATCCATACCCAGTGGAATGCATTAGTATTGCTACGGCTCCCAGTTATGTTGTGAGTTTTACATGGACAAACAAACGCGTGTCTGCTTTCTCGTAGTTGCAGGAGGCTCAGTGTTCTGTATCAACCTGTGTATTGCGACTAACATTCGTCAGATCTGAGGAACCAATTCCATTCTGGCACATTTAGACTTGCTTCAAGAATGGCTTTAATTTAGGATCAAGCAACTACAGGTAATAAGTATAAATATTATTAATCAATGTAAAATACAACACAAGCAAGTCAAGGGAATGTCTTTTTACAGCCAACATATATTTAAATACTTTACACGTTTTCATCTGGGATATGACTGAGGTCGATGATAATGTTCCTACCCGAAAGGAGCATTACAGACCCTTCCTACCTTAACTCGGTTGCCTCCACCATGGCCCGGCTGCCCCCTCCACACACACACACCATAACCCGGCTACCCTCCCCACCTTGGCTCATTCTATCAACCTGGATACGACGCCATGAACTTTCTCGGCGCGGATCTTAGTGTTTGAAGGAGTTCCATAAGTTTTCGGAACAAGCTGGCGCCGAATCTCATGTTGAGTTGCACGACAGTAACTCACTCCAGAATGCCCTCGTGGTATACACAAGTCACTTTAAATTCTAAAAAATTTTGAGTAATATTGCCCTAATTACTCCTAAAACAGTTAAAGGCGTAATAAAAAAAAAATCTCAATATCACAAGTAAAATAAAACACTGCAAAAACTTTTTTCATGCAAAAAGGAAAGCAATCTACGATTTAGTACAGTGCACAAATAAACCATTGTTCACAGACGGAGGCTAGCTAGAAAATGGCGAAATTCTCAGTTGCCAACGGTATCTTTTGTTTGAAGTTCCCGTTAAATGTCTGTTAAATCTGCTGTTTGTGTCGCCCACTAAACTATTTCCTCGATTTTCATTATAAACTTTTATATAGTACTATAATACTGAGCTTAAATGCAGTCAATCAAGACCCGGGTTCAAGAAAGTTTGTAGCTTAAAATTTTCTCGTAACTTAAGATGTAAGAACGCTGACAAGTTAAGCACAAAATTATAAATTTACACCGAGATACGCTCACTTCATCTCACTTTGGAGCAAAATTTACGTACATAATCTTTATAAATCTGGCCCCAGAAGGTTAAACTATGTGATAAAAAGCCACAACACAAGAGTGAGAAAGACCTCGGTGTGTGGCGGCGAGATTCACAGATCCAGGTCTCACTGGCTCAAGGTTCTTTTCCACTTTTGTTCCAAAACTCATATAGTTACAAAGGGGGGAAAGTTGGGAGAGCGTACAATGAAACCTTCCCGTGAACAATGTTGGGAAGGTCATAACCCTGCCAGCGTGAATCTTACAGAATGATGGAGGAGAAAGGATGATGAGAGGGGGAGAAACACAGGAAGAAAATGTGGGTGTGAAGAAATGGAGGAGTGATGATGGGAAGCTACAGTAACCATCTCTGGACGGAGGAAATTATCTGTGAAACATTCATGGAATTAGAGGTGGCTCTGTTTAATATCTCACAACATAACCAGGAAGCTCAGTGGAAATTGTGTGTGATAAGGATGACAAATAACACTAACATTAGAGTGAAGTAAAAAAAAAAATGTAGACATAAGAACTACTCCAAATGATGATGAGGAGTGAAGCTCGTTTAGGAGGGGGAGGGAGGGAAGGAGGCTGGTTAGACACTTACTTTCGTCGTGAGTGACCATGACGTTGGTAGCTACAAATGGAGGAGCCCTGGGGTCGAGTGCCAGGGTGAAGGGTGGCCCGTGACCCTGGCGCCAGTCGTCGGGGTCATTCAGCTTCACCCGGGCCACCACCTGCGCCTCACTGTTCTCTACCACTTGGACCTCCCGTGGCTCAATCAGAAACGGCGGGTTGTCGTTCACGTCAGTTACATTTACCTGAGGAGGAACAGCAAGTCTTGTACGGTCAGGTGAGGGTAACGGTTTACGAAGTCATCTGAGGAAAGGATCAGTTGGGAAAGTCTGGGAAACAAGTTAGTCAGATCACATAAGGATACAGGTCACCTACGATACAGGACAGACAGGTAATTTGAGATACAGGCCAGGCAGATAATTTACGATACAGGTCAACGAGATCATTTGAGATAAGATAAGGAAAGGAGGTCAAACTAAGAACAAGAGCAGCAAACATCTTACACACCTCATCTGTCTGGACACTTACGTTGAGGATGGCCGTGGCGGTCCTGGGTGGCACACCATCATCCACCGCCCATACCACCACAGTATGGGCAGCTGTTGTCTCCCGATCCAGGCTCCCCACCAGTCTCACTGCCCCCGCCCTGTCCACCCGAAACTGCCCCCCGGGGTCACTGGCCGGGGCTATGGTGTACCTTATTCTGCTGCGACCTCCCTGAGGGGGTTAAGGATAAGTAAGAAAGATGGTTATGAGTGAGTAGTGGCAACGGTAGTGGTGGTGGTGGTGGTGGGTAGTGGTGGTAGTTTGTGGGGGGGTAGTGGTAACGGTGGTGGTGGTGGTGGTGGGGGGGTAGTGGTAACGGTGGTGGTGGTGGGGGGTATGGTAACGGTGGTGGTGGTGGTGGGGGGGTAGTGGTAACGGTAGTGGTGGTGGTGGGTAGTGGTAACGGTGGTGGTGGTAGGTAGTGCTGGTGATAGTGGTAAATAATGATGGTTGTGGTAGGCAGTGTTGTTCATACAGTAACAGGTAGTTATGATAGGTGGTGGTGGTGTTGTTGGTACGCAGTTATAGTAGGTGGTAGTGACAGTAGGTGATGGTTGTAGGTAGTGTTGGTGATAGAAAGGGAGTGCTAGTGATGGTAGATGGTGGTGGTAGGTAGTGGTAGGGACAGTAGATGGTGGTGGTAGGTAGTGGTAGTGACAATAGGTGGTGGTGGTTGGCGGTGTTGGTGACAGTAGATGGTAGTGACGGTAAGCAGTGGTAGTGACAGTGGGTGGTAGTGACAGTAGATGGTAGTGACGGTAAGCAGTGGTAGTGACAGTGGGTGGTAGTGACAGTAGATGGTAGTGACGGTAGGTAGTGACAGTGGGTGGTAGTGACAGTAGATGGTAGTGACGGTAGGCAGTGGTAGTGACAGTGGGTGGTGGTGACAGAGATGGTAGTGACGGTAGGCAGTGGTAGTGACAGTGGGTAGTGACGGTAGATGGTAGTGACAAAGGTGGTGACAGTGGGTGGTAGTGAGTAGATGGTAGTGACGGTAGGTAGTGACAGTGTGGTGTGACGGTAGTGGTAGTGACAGTAGTAGGACAGTAGATGGTAGTGACGGTGGGTGGTAGTGACAGGTGGTGACAGTAGATGGTAGTGACGGTAGGCAGTGGTAGTGACAGTGGGTGGTAGTGACAGTAGATGGTAGTGACGGTAAGCAGTGGTAGTGACAGTGGGTGGTAGTGACAGTAGATGGTAGTGACGGTAGGTAGTGGTAGTGACAGTGGGTGGTGGTGACAGTAGATGGTAGTGACGGTAGGCAGTGGTAGTGAGAGTGGGTGGTTAGTGACAGTAGATGGTGGTGGTAGGCGGTGGTAGTGACGGTAACCAGTGGTAGTGACGGTAGATGGTAGTGACGGTAAGCAGTGGAAGCGAGACAATAAATAATACTGGTGGTAAGTGTCGATGAATACCTCTCACAGGAAGAATTAATGCATCTTATTATTTTTTTTCTACACTACGTTTTATTTCCTTTACATCCAAGAGAGAGAGAGAGAGAGAGAGAGAGAGAGAGAGAGAGAGATGGCAACTCAGCTAGTCCACTCTCATCACCCAAAAAATACACTGAACACTAACACAAGCCATCAAGACCGTCACTGTGAACTATCCGTCCCCGTCAAGCAATAACCTACAGTCGTGCCTCTCCCTGCCACCTTCCCCAGTCCAGGAAAAAAAAAATAGTTGGTTACTTTTTCTTTTTTTGACAAGACCAATCTCGATCCCCCCTCCAGCTGTGTGTCACAACCCCAGGTCCCTCTTGTGTATTGCTTGCCCCCAACACTACACAAATCAGCTTCGGATTCAGAAACTTTAATCAAATTTAAGACAATTTCTGAATCTTTATCCAGATTTAAGTAAGAATATTAAACTTTTTCCGTATTTAATTAATATTCTGAAAGTTTATCCAGTTTTAAGTAAGATTCTGAAACTTTATTTTATCTAGATATATAAGTGTAGATTAAAGTAAGACTTGGACAAATTATCAAGATATATATACAGTACAATATATTTAATGTATATACGCCAATTTCGATAAGGATCTAAAACTTTATCCAAAAATATAAATTCGGATTTTGATTGGAACTAGAAATACAGATTTAGTTAAGAAATACGGTTATGACAACAAAATTATACATGTGGTTTGTTGACTTGTTTGATTTACAGTGTTATATTTTGATTAATGTTTACCTCTACTGTCGTGTTCTTCCTCGCTATAAAGTTTACTGCTTTTATATCTTACTAACATTACCTGAAGATTATTCCTCTTAATTATTTCACCTGATGATTAAACACCCTTTACCATGGGGGTATGTTAAGGTTAGGTTAAGGCTTAATTAAGTTAGGTTAGGGTGGTTAATCTCAGGTGAAATAACCCCAGGCGAGCTAATACTCTTGACATTTCACACACACACCTACAGTATGTAAGTACCTTTGTCGGTTTATATTAGTGTGTGTTTCAGACTATGTTGTATTAAACATTAACCTTCCATTATTTTATTCTAGACAAAGTAGAATATTTATTTTTCTTCATTTGTAACTTATTTTAAGCCTCGCTAAACAGAGCTGTCAATTTGACTTGTCACTCACTCCTTGTGCTTTTCATTTGTAAAGAAAAAAAATCAATTTTCTTGTTATATTATGCATTGCAATGTACCTTAATTTAATATATATATATATATATTTTTTTTATCTTGTTCCAATTCCTTCACTTTGTCACACATTTTTATAGTACAGAATGCAGTACATTTCACTCTATCCGCCAAGTGTGGGTAAGTCACACTCAAGGCTCACCAGGCTTCCTCACTGACACTAGGTCACGGTTTTCAGTTATATTTAATTGTATCCAAGTCAAAGGTTCTCATATGTTTTTCCTCAAGTACTCTATCATCATTTATTATCATTACCCATCTTCCACTGTTATGTAGAGTACGTGAATCAACAGCGACAACCTTACAAAATGTGAAAGAAATAGTACATAACGAGAAATGGCGCTAGTTTTTGTTGATGCTACTACGCTTCAACAACTTAGGCACGAATACAAAAAGTTATAGAAAAGTGCTAAGGTAACGAGTAGAAATATCCACACAAATACTAGTTCATATCCTCAACTTACATACACAGGAAAACAGCAAAGTTTACTTCTACTGAAACACAAATGGTGATATAATTTACCAATATGATTCAACAAGGTAAGCACACACACACACAAACTATTTCCCTCCCACTGCCAGCTTACCCCATCCAGGTCGTGGGCGGTGAAAGTGGTGAGGACGGTACCGAGGGGCGTGTCCTCAGGCAGCGTGAGGTGGGCGTGGTCGCTGACGTAGGTGGGCGTGTTGTCATTCTCGTCCACCAGGCGCAGGTTGACCCAGGCGCCGTCCACATGGTACTTGTCTTCCCACCCATCCTCTCCCTGTGAGTTACCCAAGAAACAATCAATCAAGTAAGTAATCAAAGCAATCGACCAATCAAGTAATCAAATAAATCAAGTAAATGCATTAATTAACCAGTCAAGTAACTAAAGTAATCAATCAATTAAGCAATAGAAATAATCAACCAATCAAGCAGGTTAATAAAATTAATCAATCAAGAATTCAGTAAATCAAGCAACCAAGTAATAAACCAACCAAAAATTAACATAATCAACCATTCAAGTAAATAAGTTATCAACTAATCAACCACTTAATTAAATTATTAACCAATCACGTAATCAACCAATCGACTATTCAACTAATCAAGTTCTCAGCTAATCAAGTGATCAACAAATCAAATAAGCTACCATCCAATTAATCAACAAATCAATCGGCAATAAATTTAATCAAGTAATCAATCAATTACGTTATCAAGTAATCAATCAACCAATCAATTAACCAAACAATATAGTGTGAAATCAATCGGTAATTAAATCATCCAGTTATTAGACAAGAGGTAATAAAAAACAATCAAGTAATGAAATAGTCGATAATCAAGCAATCAATAGAATAGTCATTACAACAACTAATCAATAAATCAATCAACCAACTCCCAGAATCATCAATAATTAAACAGTAATCAACCAATCAAGTAATCAATTAATCATACAATCAATTATATCAACCAATCAATCAAGTTCTCAAATAACTAGAAACCATCCAATCGAAAAATCAAACAATAAGTAATCAACGAATCAAGATGAGACAAAATAATCAACCAATCAAATTACGAAGTTAAACGATGTTTTTCTTGATCACATTGATTACTAACTGATGTCACTTTGATCAAATAATAGTTAAATGATGTTTATCTTTGATCAAACTCGATAAATGATCTCTCTAATCAAATTCCTGTACAAAATAAGATCGTAGGATTTGTCATATTCACAAAAATGATGTAAATTGTTTTCATCTATAAACCAGAGGAAGAGGCGGACGAGGAGGTTAGAGCGGGAACCTTGTAGTGAAAATTTCTGTCTTGGAGTATTCATTGATATTCAAGGTGTTTGTGTGTTTCGTTGTATTGCACGGTGTTTCTGGTTCATTATCTGTATATAGTAAAGTGTGTGGTCATGAATTACCATCGAGTGAGTGAAAGGGGGTTAAGTGAGATAGAATTGGTTGGGGGGGGTGACGGAGGGTGTGTGCAAATTCTGGCTTTTACCAACTACGTTCATAAGGGCTCTGGCTGTCCGAACGAGAGTGACACAATAAACAGATGGTCTGAAAGAATGCTTGTATATAATTACAGGTGGAAAATTACAACACTGTACTTGATACACTTGGCTAGTGAGTATTTCTGGACCATTAACATCAGCCAGTACACATGACCACCCATTAAATCACTCGTAAAACACGTAATAGTGATGAACGCCGGGACAAAGGGAGTACCGTACAGCCGCTACTAGTGCTGTCCTCTGTGTTGTGTTGGATATATTTCGCGTTGCTTTTGTTTCACTGCATTTTTGTTGTCGTGATAATGAATCAGTTTTATTGGTTCTAATTATTATACTGTATTGGTGTAGTGCTTTGTGTAGAACTTCAATCGTGTTGTATAATAATAATGCTTTGTACTGTATTAGTGATTTTTTTGTGTTGGATTTGAACTTTATTGGTGTTGTTTGGTCTTTTATTTGTGACATATTATCCAAAATGTTGCCAATTTATTACATATTATCTCGCCAGAGCTCCGTTACACACGAAGGATGAAAATATCGACACCTTGAGTGGCCATGAGAGTCCAGCGACGCACCTCATCCTTCACGCCACCTAACTGTAGGATCTTGTGGGTAGCTAAGTGCACTAAATCCAATAGCGTATTCCTTCCAGAAATTGGTTACTCATAGCAGTGCCGGATGGAAGAGTGGGGTGGGCAACATGGGTTAAGAGCCCTGAGGCCCCAACACAAAAGGGGCCCCCACAAAGCAGATCGAGTTCTAGGTACCCAAAACGATAGAGGGATACACACACACACACACACACACACACACACACACGCAAGTAAATTTTTAATCCTGCTGTGACTCACAGAGATGCAAGGTCGATAACATTAAGTTCCTTCTGTGAGTACGGTAGGTCGGATATATACACATAATTCAACAAGCAGCTTCAAAATACTCCAGGTGACCACAACATACTCCACAAGGTGACCACAACACTATTCCACAAGGCGACCACAACATATTCCACAAGGCGACCACAACATATTCCACAAGGCGACCACAACATATTCCACAAGGCGACCACAACATACTTCGGAATTTAGGTGACTACTGGCGAAACATATACAAAGGGAACCTCCTGAAGCAGACGTACCGCATCCGTAACCTCCACCCGGAAGCGGAATCCTCTCCTATGGTCGGGGTTTTCGTAGTCAAGGGGCCCCACAGGACGCAGGTCACCACCAGGTCCTCCCACACGTCTACCCTCCACCCTGAACATCTGCCACCCGTGTCCGCTTCCTGGCACCACCTACAGAAGGGCGGGAAGAAGGTAGTGGTGACCATTAGTTAGGTTGTCGTTAGGTGAAGGAGCGAGTAGGTGGAGTGTGTTCAAAGTATTTCGTTTACACAATATTATTCTAGTCTCTGTTTTTTTCCCTTTGTGTTCCTAACCATTTTTGCTCACATTTTACCTTCTTTGTTTTCTGTTACTACTACTACTACTACTGCTACTACTACTTTTTTTTAAATGGCCTCCAGCCTCCCCTAATAGCCATACCTTCGCCACTATTTTATTACCTTAATATTGAATATCCTAATACATAAGTATCTATCCTAGCTGTGTTACTACTACAACTACAGCGTTATTATTATTATCCTTAAAATGTCTACCAACTCTTCCAGTAACTTTAGACTGTTTATACTACTACTACTACTACTAACACCGCTACTGACCCTGAAGGTGAAGTTGTTGGACACGTCTTGGTCGACCACAGTGAGGGTGGCCAGCACACGGTCTGGACTGTGGCGCTCCGACACGTCCAGCGTCCACTCTGGCCTCGAGAATCTGGGCGGCACGTCGTTCACGTCTTCTACGTCCACAACCACCGTCCCTGTGCCTGACGGAGGATAGGTATACGTCATTCGTGAGAGAGAGAGAGAGAGAGAGAGAGAGAGAGAGAGAGAGAGAGAGAAACATGTCCGGTATTTAGTGTTAAGAGTGCGGGACGGACGTGGGGAGCGAGGGAATGACGTAGAAATAAAGGCAGAGTAATAATCGTAAGAAAAGAAACGAGGAGATTGGAGGAAGCTCATCGACTGGAAACTTAAAATGGAGAAATAAATGAAGAAAGAAAAGAAGAAGGAAAAGGAAAAATTTAAGAAATATTTCATAAGAGATATAATTGTTAAGACTTGAGTCGAGATATAAAAATATGTTCAGAGACTTGAGGAAAACCAAGCCTTGAGGAACACCCAGCCTTGAGGAACACCCAGCCTTGAGGAACATCCAGTCTGAGGAACACCCAGCCTTGAGGAACACCCGACCTTGAGGAACACCTATCCTTGAGGAACACCCGGCCTTGAGGAACACCTGGCATTGAGGAACACCCTTGAGGAGGAATATCCATCAATGTGTAACACCCAGGAGGAAGAACACCCAACGGCATGAACACCTACCCTTGAGGCCGCCTCCGTCAGTAACGACCACCTGGATGGCATACTGCTGGGTCTTCTCACGGTCGAGGCAACAGAGGGCGGTGGTGATGAGCCCCCGCTGGGTGTCAATGTTGAATATGGGGCTGCCAGTTGACTCATCAATCACGTTCTTCTCCAGAGAGTACACCAGCTGCGCGTTGTGGCCCTCGTGTGGGTCGTCATGGTCCGTCGCCACCACCTGGATCACCTGAGCTCCTGCAGCAAAGGAAATTAGTTTACCAGCACTGTTACTGTACCCCCACCGTGAAACCTAATTTTGTCTAACTGACGAAAAAGTAATTACTGTACCTGCGTTACCGTCGTACCTGAACTGTATACTGTATACAAGTCTGTCCAACTGCCGGAAAAGTAATTATTGCGCCGGTTCTTTATACCTAAATCTGTCCACCTGTCGGAAAGTTAATTATTGAACTTGTAAGTTATTGCATTGTACTTTATACAACGTTGATCTATTAACATATTTTTTTCTGAATGGAGGAAATGAATTTAACTTTAATCCCAGCTTCTGAAAGGTTTGTACGTTATTTTTTATCGCAATTAAAGATCTGAGAACACCTCTAATTGGATGTTTTTACCCAACCACAAAAAACCCATCTAAAACGACTTTGAAATACTTCACTAAGATGAATTTAATTAGCTTCATTCCCATAGCACCTGCTGGAGACAACATAGCCTGGTGTTTTAATGGGCGAATTGATAATTGAGCTTTACCCGTTCTAACAAGCGGAAATGATAAAAATGTCCTTACGCAAAGTACAAAACAAAGAGAGAGAGAGAAAGAGAGAGAGAGAGAGAGAGAGATGAGTGTCCCACCCGTACTCATTAGTGGCAGTACCAGTAAATCTTAACTTAGAAGCTTGTCCAAGAGCTGCCTCACTGTGAGGATTTACTCCCACCACGCAAAGACCCGCATGTACACACACACAAACATACATATATAATCATACACGCATACATATACATACACAAAAAAATATCTCTCTATCTCTTACTGTCACATTCTACATGTATAACACAGTAGGGGCGGTGACACTGGCTGTGTTCCCACTCTTGCTCTGTTATCCTACCTGTATCAAGAGAATAAAATTGAACCTTTCTCTCTCGCTTACTCTTTCTTATTGCCCTGTCATCCTTGGTAAACAGTAAAGAAGTTTGCCCCTCTCTCTCTCTCGCTAAATATGTCTACGGTAGTTAGCTTTAGTTTCTATTTCTCACTCTCTCAAATCACACGTACAACACATGAGTCAGTACCCTACCTTTGGGGGTGTCCTCGGAGATGGACGCGGTGAGGGTGGAGGTGGGGAAGTAAGGGGCGTTGTCGTTCACATCCTTCAGGTTGATATGGACGTCCGTGTAGGCTTCGAACTCCCCGTCCGTAGCCTCCACCCGTAGCTTCCACTTAGCCTGTCCGTGGGGCGGATCACGGTCCAAAGGCTGTGTGCAGGGAGGGGTTAATGTTGTCATGGGTTATTGTTATTATTAGTAGTACCCTGCCTTTATCTGTGTGTGCCCCCCCCCCCCAAGGAAAAAAATCAAGTGAGCAAATTTGCGCCAAAAACTGACCAAGTGTTGCCATGGTGATAGGGTTTTTAGGGGCCAAGGATACGATGGAATTTTTCAGGGGTTAAAGAAAACGATTGAGAACGTCTCCAACAGTGACCACATTAATTTACAGAAATAGCATCACTATTTCGATACTGATATTAGGACTGGGGCCCATAATGTTAGGGAATCAATGCTAAAGGTTAGGTTACGTTGAAATCTGTCTGGAATGAAGCCCACCTCACCTGTCACCCTCGTACAATACATTGTTTAAAAATATATACATATGATGTTTAGAAAAATCAGAGTGAAAATCAATATTATATCACGTTATGTAGTAATATGTTGACCTTTATTTACCAGAAAAAACAGTAATATCTATGAAAATTGTACCTGTAGTTTAATATCATGCAAAGATCTCGTCTAAAATAGCAAGAGAGCTGAAGGAACTACTGCCTTTTAACTGAGTTATAAAGGAAGTCACAATTATCTGACCTTGTTGTAGCAGAATAAATCAATTGCTCAGTTCGGACATGGCTGGTCGTTAACTTCTTTACCATATCACTTAGAAAACAACCATCTTTGTCATTCAAGTATAATGGATTTTTTATTGTTATTTTTTTACAAATATTTAGAAAATAAAAATCCCAGACAACTGATACATCTTAATTACGTGGTAAACCTGTATGTTAGCTGCAAAATGTCATAAATGTATACTTCAACCTGTTCGTAAAAGCTTTAATAACTTAATTTCCTTACTTAACTACACTGTATCATAACTTCACCTCTCAAGTCAGTGGATGTTGGTTCAGTTTTCGGCCTTGTACAATCACCATTAGAACAAAACACTCGGGTGTGTTTGTAGATGCTGGAACAACCCTGGGTGGACAAACATCTTCCAAAGAGGGGGAGGGTGATGTAACGCACTAATTAGCGGATCAGCAAAAAGTATTGTTAAAAAAAATTAGTTTGGTTTGAAAGGATTATAGAAAAACAATAAATTCGGCCCTAAGCTAATTACTTTAAACAGTAAAATTAAAACAAAACATGAATTCAAGTCTCGCTATATTCTTCTACTTCTCATATTTCCCCATCTTTTTTGTTTAATTAATCTAGTTATTTTTCCTCTTACTGCTGTTTCTCCTCTAGCTTCAGCTCCCCTTCTCCTTTTGGTCCCGCTCCATTAACTTTTATTCTTCTAGTCCTTTCGTGTTCCCTCTCCTCCTCCTCCGCCATCATTTAATCACTGTAAAAGCCAATGGTTTCTTACGTCCTCGTCTCAAACGATTAACATTTATTACCCCAGACACATCCATCGCCAAGGGCATCATTAAACAACAATCTGCTCGGGTTTCCAAGAAATTTAAGTATTAGATAAAGAAAAAAAAAGTCAATTCATGTAACGCTCATTATCAGAAGCGCTCCTCATCAGCAGCTACCCATCACGTCGAGGTGAGTGAGCTAGAACATCAGGAGCAGTAGTAAATGGCGCCTCGCATTTGTCAGTGAAAACGTTCGTAGAAACGACGTCGCCCATTACCAGGTCGCTGAGGACCTTCAGGCTTCTGCGTGTTCTTTGTATATTTTCTATTTCTGTAAATTAATCGGTCGAGGTTGAGGAGGAAAAAGGTTTAAAATTAAGTTTAGATATTTCTGGCCGGCTTACAAGGGTTTTACGGCCCTGCATAATTTTTTTGTTTGAGTGCATCAAGTCTCAGTGGAATATTATGGTCACGTATACTGTATGTTTTGAGGAACATCGTCGTCGGTTGGCAGAATTTTGCAGATAAAAACAAAGTAATTGTATATTCATGGTTTCAACCTCGCCCTCTGAATCTTTACACATAACTTTTTTTTTCAGGAATTAAATAAATTGATAAAACTCTATATTAAGAAAAAATAATGCTAGGAGTGTGGTAACGAAGGAGACACAAGTGGACACTGGTAACTTACTCTTCTGAGGACGATTAAGATCCTAACCCGTGTCATGAGTAAAATCTCCAACTTAGTGAAGCTAAAACCTAAGAAAATAAAAGCAAAAGAAGAGACAGTCAGACATTGAAACCTAAAACAGATTTCCGGTATCGTTGGTGGAAAAAAATAATCGTTAGGAAAATTGATGCAAGAAAATGACGCAAAAAGTACTTGTGTGACGCCGCCTCAATGGGTCGTCAGTTCCATGAATCTCGATTACATTTTTTTTTGCTATTAAATATTCAGCATGTAAATAATGATACTCTCACCGCTGGTCATTAGGAGGAATTACGAGAGTGATCAACAGATTAATGTGAAAAAAGAGCTAATACGTTATAAGTTGTTAAGACGGAAGTAATCCTTGTTTCTGAATTAAAAACAGAACCTATTATAACAATTTTAGTCAGCACCGGCGAACCAAAATACAATAGAAAACAAAATAGAAAATTTCGTGTATTTGGGAAGAACTGGAAGTTAATGTGAGAAAAAAAATTCTTTTAAAAAACGTAATCAATTTTAATTTCAGAAACAGGCTGCTGAAGGGCGTCGTATGGACTGTACTCATGTGGCCACCTTCTGCAGGCACCCGAAGGAGAGAAAATGACTTCGAAACATGGCGCTACAAGTGATTCTTAAAATAAAGATAAAAAATAAATACATAATACGAAAATTGGCTACAGCCCAAAAGAGAACACGAACCTAAAAGAAAAAATTGATGATAAAAATAAATATAAGGGGATAATGATAAAGAGAGTAATAGGTAAAACTGAGAGTAAGAGGGTTAGGGGAAGCCAGAGACTGGGATGGATGGATGGGTGAATAAATGGATGGATGGATGAATGAATGAATGGATGAATGAATGAATGTATGAATGAATGAATAAATGGATGGATTGATGGATGGATAACATTAAAGCTGTGTTCCTGAAGATAGAAAATGTGGGAAGATGGCTGAAGACTCGAGGCTGTTGACCTTGAATGATTAATATCCCCGTTTAAATCAACTGTTTACCTTCATCATCGGTTTGTGCCCTCTTCTTCCTTTCACCGTTCAACTTGACTGTTCTCCCCCTCCTCCTCCTCCTCCTCTCATCTGTTCATCTCCTCCCCTCGATCTCCTAAGCCTCCCTTAACCTTTATATTAATACTCCCTTCTTTCTCCTGTTCTCCCTGACTCAACAACTTCTCCTTTATTTTCATCTCCGTCTTTCGATCCTTCCCTTACCCTCTTCCATCCATCCCATAAGACTTTTTTCCCTTCCCAGTTTTTGTCCTTTGAATCCTTCCAGTCTTCTGATCTCTTCTCTATTCCACTTACCCTTTCTTTTGCCTTATTCCGTCCGTCTCTAATCCATCCATTTTTTTTATACTTCCTTCCCTTCATCTTGCTTCCTCATTTCATCCCTTCCTATTTCTCTGAGGTTTCTCTGTTCCTTCCCCCCTTTCTTCTTCTTCTTCTCTCTCTCTCTCTCTCTCTCTCTCTCTCTCTCTCTCTCTCTCTCAATTCTTCTATCCCACTAGCCTTCATCCACTATCCCACCTACCTTGTCTTTTTCGTTACTCCTTTCCAACCATCTCCAATCTCCCATACCCTTCCCCCATTTCCCTCACCTCTCCCCCCTCACTTCCATCCATCCTATTTTTCCCACTTCTGTCTCCATTCCCATCTCCTCCACCTCCATTCCCATCTCCTCCACCTCCATCTCTACCTCCATCTCCACACCTCCACCCTCCAGCTTGACCATCGCCAGCATCCCTAACCCACCGTTGCCTTGGAAACATCAGCCAATAACCTTGTTGTGTACAGCCGAGAGCCTTGAGAAGAGATAATATGACATAAGTTGTTCAGAGAGAGAAAGAGAGAGAGAAATAATAAGGTGTGAGCTGTTCTGAGGGCTATAATAAGGCTTGATGAGAGAGAGAGAGAGAGAGAGAGAGAGAGAGAGAGAGAGAGAGAGAGAGAGAGAGAGAGAGAGAGAGAGAGAGAGAGAAATAATAAGGTGTGAGCTGTTCTGAGGGCTATAATAAGGCTTGATGAGAGAGAGAGAGAGAGAGAGAGAGAGACGTGAGGTGTCAAGACAGAAAAAATAAAGGATTTAAGAAGAGGTGGTGTGTCTGCCTCTCACGACCGCGACCTGGGTTCAGTCCCCGGGTCGGAAATGAGTGAGGTGTTTTCCCTGTGTGACCTGATAAAACATAACAGGTTTTCTCCAGGTGCAATGAACAGCAAATTCATTAAAGACAATAGAGGTTAAAACAATCTACAGGTTTCCTTTATTTGTTGAGGAGGCTGTTAATTAAAAAAATAGAAAACAAAACACTCGAGAAAGCACACACACACACACACACACACACACACACACACACACACACACACACACACACACGCGCGCGGTCCTATCCTTGTACCCACTCTGTTTATGAACGACATTAACGATACTGATGAAAATATATCGTTCCATATAATTAAGTTTGCAAACGATCGGAAGATTTACGAGAGGGTGACCAGTCAGGAAAACACCACATCCATGCAAAACGATCTACGCCAACTTTTCTAATGGTTACAGTGTGCCAAATACCTTTATACTTACTTAACAAAATACAAGGTCCGTCATGGAGTAAAATAACCCATAACACAATTACTCCATAAAAAAATAAAAAAATAAATTAACAAAATCCTGAAAAAGATACAAAGTGTTACGAAAAACAAAAGATTACAGCTAAGTTGCTTCATAAGGGTCAATGGAACAGTCTACTAATTGAAACCGTGGAAGCAAGACCAATGGAACATCTTTACAAAAATCCTGAACAAGTTATCATCCTTCTTCCCATGCCATGACCACCTCTAGTTGTCTTTGCGGTCAGGTAGATTAAGCAATGACCACCTCCCAAAACAAAACATTCATCCCCTCACACACACACACGCATAACAACACCTCACGCACACATAACAATACCTCACGCAACAATACCTCACGCACACATAGCAATACCTCACGCACACACACACACAACCAAAACCTCCTCATACCCTTAACAGTAGAACGGCGCCAGTAACGGGATCAACGGAGAAACAGCTGGTTCCGTTGGGGTAGACACCATCCCCAGACAATGAGTAGTGCAGCTGGCCATGTTCAGCCCCGTCACCATCTGTAGCTGTTACCTGTAATTAACACACCTTGAGGGACACGCACGTAGACAACAAGTCGAGGTGAGGTTTATATATAGCATGGAGTCAGCAGTGGCTTGTGTTGTTACTATGCAAATATCATGGCGGGAATCTGTTGAGAGAGAGAGAGAGACTGACTTAGGAACAGACATGAACGACTACACACCGTGAGGATGGTTTTGGGAAGGTGTCGGTCGTCCTCTTCGGTAATCTGTGTCTCGTGCAACAACCTGGGGAACACTGGGGCATGGTCGTTCTCGTCTAACACCCTCACCACGACCTTCGCCTCGCTCCTAGCCTCTCCCGTCCGCGCCTCCACTGCCAGGTCGTACTAGGAGAGATACAGAAAACAAAATGATAAATACTGAAAATAGTAATGAGAGAAAGTCGTACTATCCAAACCTCCATTACTAGGTCGTTGTGAAGAAGGAAAAAAATAAATTCCTAGAATAAGTTTATGGGAAGGATCGTACTTGACCGTGGTGCCACTATCAGGTCGGGATGGGAAAGTGGAAATAAAGTCACAGGATGGTGAAGGGTTGCATTCTGGCCTTCGACTGAGAGGGAGGCTTGGATGACGTGGGCTGGGAATCTGAAAGTCTCGTATGTCCCGTGTCTCTCGGATCTAAGAGCAAAAGAATATTAGTTTTAAAAAAATAATTTCAAAGTAAAACTGGTTGAGGAACTGAACCTTGACATACAAGTTTAACTAATTGAACGGCAATTATTTATAAAGTGGCCAAAGGTGATCGTATCTGGAGAAGATAAGAGAGGTTCGTGAAGATCGTACCCGAGAGAGAGAGAGAGAGAGAGAGAGATGATTTAGACCGTAATATCCACCGCAGTAAGAGAACAGTAAACATTTTGTTCACTAAAACGCGATAAAAGCGGAAATGAAAACAATTTTCTATGTTGGTGGACATTCTGTGTCGAGTGTTTGGCAACTTGTGGCTCGAGGCACCTCAGTCTACAATAAAACTGTTCTTACGTTAAACTCCTCACCACAACCATTAACTTTGGATGAAAAACAAAACAAAAAACGAATCTAGTTATAACACTGTCAGTGCAGATATCTACAACATATTGCAGCCATCTCTGTGAAGCACTTAAGATAAAGGTCGCGATCCTCCAATTACAGGGAGAATCAACTGACTAACTTTTAAAAATCTAGGACATGGTTGACATTTTTCAAACGTCTATTTTATCTTTAAAAAAAAAATAATTCCTGATTTTAAAACATTCTTAGAATCAATGGCGCGAAAACACAAATATGCCGAACACGCCCTCACTCGCTTTGCGTTAGGCTTATATACTGAATCAACCTGACTAATTTTCATTTTCCAGGAATAAAATAATATATATTCGAAATATTTACACCTAAAGCCTTTCATAAGTCGAGGTGAAGTACTACAAACAACAACAAACAAATAACAACTTATTACATATGTTTATAATCTCAACATTGTTTATATGAGTGTTCTTTACATGTCCGTCCGTCGGTATGTGGTCAGAGGCGCTTCGACACGGGTTACAGTGACACACACATACCGCCTCATACCAGGGACATTGTGGTCGAGTTCGATATTGAAAACTCTTCTTCACTTACCAGAGTTGTGACCTAGACGGAGGTAGAAGATGAGAGGAAGACACTGAGGAAGAATTTGAAGACGAGGAAGAGGGGGGGGGGGAAGGGAGGTGGGGAAAATTGGAAAATGGGAACGGAGGAGGAGATGGAGATGGGAAGGAGTAGGAATTGGAAGAATGCGAGGAGGAGGAGGCCGAGGAGGAGGAGGAAGAAGAGGAGGAATTGGAAGAATGGGAGATGTTAGGAGATGGGGATCATATCTACAGGCTGTATGTACCCTCACTTTCTCCAACTCTAACCTAGTGTGTTCCTTTCACCCTCCCTCTCACCCTACCTTACTCCGCCTTTTACCTTCCCTCCCACCCTCTCTTACTATATTCGTCTCTTAACTTATTCTCATTCTTCCCTTCACAATTCTCTCCATCTTTCCCGATTTCTCTCTCACCCTTTCTCCTGTGCACTCTCACCCTTCTCTCCCTCTCAACCTCTTTCCCTCTCTTCTCCCTCTCAGTCGCTTCCTGTCTCTCCTTCTCACCCCCTTCCTCTTTTTCTCCCTCTCCTCCCCGGGACCGCCAGGAGATGGGGTTCACTCCCTCAACGAGAGAAGACTGCTGGCAGGAAAACATCATTTACGATGCCGGGACGACCACAGCCGCCGCTAACTTGTTTTGATTCACTCCTGGTTGAAGTCTACATATCCACCTCCCTGCCTACCCACCTCCCTCCCTGCTTGCCTACCCAGGAGATTGAGAGAATAAAAGAGAAAGAGATAAGAGAAAAGATTGAGAATAAGACAGAGAGAATAAGACAGAAAAAGAGAGAGAGAGAGAGAGAGAGAGAGAGAGAGCCCATTGGAGACCTATACTGCACACGACTAAATCTTAAGGACCAACTAGCGTGCGTGGAGTGACCAACAGAGCCCTGAAAAGAACCAGGGATTACTTGGTGGTATGAGAGAGGAAAGACAAGTAGCCCACACCATCACACCTCAAGACTACGGGTTGGGTCGATGGAGAGAGAGAGAGAGAGAGAGAGAGAGAGAGAGAGAGAGAGAGAGAGAGAGAGAGAATAGTCGTTCAAGACGCGGTAATACTTCGAGCGTCCTTAACATAAAAGGTCAACTGTAGTCCAACGTGTATTTTTAATTTATTTTATTTATTATTTATTTATTTTACTTCTCGGTTACTGTAGATATAATCCATAAAATAAATAATACTGTAGCGAAGTTTCTTCCTTTCTTTCTTCTACAGGATAGTTTTTAATCATATATTCCTTCTACAGGATAGTTTTTAACCATATGTACCTTCTACAGGATAGTTTTTAACCATATATACCTTCTACAGGATAGTTTTTAAGCATATATTCCTTCTACAGGATAGTTTCTAACCATATATACCTTCTACAGGATAGTTTTTAATCATATATTCCTTCTACAGGATAGTTTTTAACCATATATACCTTCTACAGGATAGTTTTTAATCATATATTCCTTCTACAGGATAGTTTTTAACCATATATTCCTTCTACAGGATAGTTTTTAACATATATTCCTTCTACAGGATAGTATACCTTCTACAGGATAGTTTTTAATCATATATTCCTTCTACAGGATAGTTTTTAACCATATATACCTTCTACAGGATAGTTTTCAATCATATATTCCTTCTACAGGATAGTTTTTAACCATATATTCCTTCTACAGGATAGTTTTCAATCATATAATCCTTCTACAGGATAGTTTTCAATCATATATTCCTTCTACAGGATAGTTTTTAACCTACAGGATAGTTTTTAATCATATATTCCTTCTACAGGATAGTTTTTAACCATATATACCTTCTACAGGATAGTTTTCAATCATATATTCCTTCTACAGGATAGTTTTTAACCATATATTCCTTCTACAGGATAGTTTTTAAGCATATATTCCTTCTACAGGATAGTTTTTAACCATATATACCTTCTACAGGATAGTTTTTAATCATATATTCCTTCTACAGGATAGTTTTTAACCATATATACCTTCTACAGGATAGTTTTCAATCATATATTCCTTCTACAGGATAGTTTTTAACCATATATTCCTTCTACAGGATAGTTTTCAATCATATAATCCTTCTACAGGATAGTTTTCAATCATATATTCCTTCTACAGGATAGTTTCTAACATATATGGCGTTTATAGGAAAAAAATACCCGAGTGGTAATTATCTCTTCTCTAGGAGCTGAGGCGCTGGGCACAGGTGGGAGATGACGCCAGGTAATCACACAACACTAATTAACAAGAGACTCACCTGGAATCGTCCTTTGGGGAGGTGTCAATACCCTACACGTCGAACAACACAACTTAGGGGGAGGACCATTCAAGGCTCTCTTGAGGGAAGTTGAGGCAAGAGTGAGAGGAGTAGTTTGAGAAAAGAGCTCCTCAACTGTCCTCTTCAATTGTCCTGTTGTCCTCACCTGTCTTGCTGTCCTCACCTGTTTTCCTCTGTTGTCCTCACCTGTCGTTTTCTACTGTTCTGTTGTCCTCACCTGTCTTGCTGTCCTCATCTGTCGTTCTGTCCTCACTTGTCATCTTCTATCGTCCTGTTGTCCTCACCTCTCTTGCTGTCCTCACCTGTCGTCTTCTATCGTCCTGTTATCCTCACCTCTCTTGTTGTCCTCACCTGTTGTCTTCTATTGTCCTCACCTGTCGTGTTTTAGTGTGCTATAGTCCTCACCTGTCGTTTTCTATTGTCCTGTTGTTCTCACCTGTCTTGCTGTCCTCACCTGTCGTCCTGTTATCACCTGTCGTATATTATTGTCGTATAGTCCTCACCTGTCCTCTATTGTTCTTGCTGTCCTCACCTGTATCCCACTATCCTCACCTGCCCTCAATTTTTCCTGTTATCCCCACCTGTCACCGTGTCCTCACCTGGTTCTGATCCTCATAGTTGAGAGGAGTGAGGAGAGAGAGTCGGCCAGAGGAGGAGTCAAGCCTAAAAGAGCCTTCTTCATTACCCTCTGTGATCCTGAACGTCAGCGGCGCTCCTGTGGGTTGAGAGACAGTCAGGGTGAGAGATACTGGGGAGAGATGAGAGATAATGAGGGTGAAAGATACTGGGGTGAGATGAGACAGCAAGGGTGAGAGATATTGGGGTGAGATGAGAGATAATGAGGGTGAGAGATACTGGGGTGAGATGAGACAGCAAGGGTGAGAGATATTGGGGTGAGATGAGAGATAATGAGGGTGAGAGATACTAGGGAGAGATGAGACAGCAAGGGTGAGAGATGCTAGGGAGAGATGAGAGATAAGGGTGAAAGGTACTGGAAACAGATGAGGGACAGTCAAGGTGAGAGAGATACTGGGGTCAGATGAGAGACTTTAAGGTGAGATGAGAAACTATAAGGTAAGCAAAATTGATCCTAAAATAAGGCATCCTACGGGTCAGAAGAGATGTTCAAGGTTCTAGGGTAGCCGGCGAGGTTCTAGAATGAATGGCGAGGTTATACAGTGTGGCTGGCGAGGTTCTAGAATGACTGGTGAGGTTCTAGAATGAATGGCGAGGTTCTAGAATGACTGGCGAGGTTATAGAGTGTGGCTGGCGAGGTTATAGAGTGTGGCTGGCGAGGTTATAGAGTGTGGCTGGCGAGGTTCTAGAATGAATGGCGAGGTTATACAGTGTGGCTGAGAGGTTCTAGAATGACTGGCGAGGGTTCTAGAAGGAATGGCGAGTTCTGAATGGTGAGGGTTCTAGAATGACTGGCGGTTCTTGGAGAATGACTGGCGAGGTTCTAGAATGAATGGCGAGGTTCTAGGTGTGGCTGGCGAGGTTCTAGAATGAATGGCGAGGTTCTGGAATGACTGGCGAGGTTCTAGAATGACTGGCGAGGTTCTAGAATGACTGGCGAGGTTCTAGAATGAATGGCGAAGTCCTAAAATGATTGGCGAGGTTCTAGAATGACTGGCGAGGTTCTAGAATGACTGACAAAGTTCTAGGATGATAACACGTAACATCAACAGTGGCGGGAACGAAATAGAAAAATAAAATCGGAGAGAAAATTTTAATACACATTAATACGTTGTTGATAATTAGACTCCATTTTTTAAAGCATAATATTAATAGTTCATCATTAGTAGGCTTTCAGGGATGATATTTACTGTTGCTGTTCTGAATTAATTTTAGGATTTTCAGCCACTGTATTTTTGTGTGCATATTTGCCCCCGAAATTGTTGCATGGCTCAGATCATTCTCCAGTACGCGGAGTTGAACATGGAATTAATTCACCGACTCTCCGTCAAGCTTCTTTATGGCGCTGCTGCTGCTGTGTTGTGTTGCCTCGGTTGGCTGTTGGTACGTACACTCTTTTGTCTAATTATTGGGAGAGAGAGAGACAGTGAGTGAGTGAGTGAGTGAGTGAAGTGAGTGAGAGAGAGAGAGAGAGAGAGAGAGTGAATACAAATAGATAAAAACAGATTAATAGAGGGTTGATAGACATATTGATAGAGACAGGCAGACAGACAGATAGATAGACAGACAGACAGATACATACATAGATAGATACACAGACAGACAGACAGACAGACAGCTGCAGCACCACAACAGCCAGCTTGCATTCTTCAAGGCCTTAATAGCTCGTCTTGTTTTCGCTGAAGAAGTTAAATTAAAGACATAAATAACCTCAAGTTTTCTTAATGAAGTTCCATCAATCCCTCAAGTGTGTAAAACTCATCCCCACTTCTATTTGAATCCCTCTATTTATCGCTGTGATGGACGTTTGGGGGATAATATATGTGGTATATCTTTAGCTTTAATCACATATAATAAAAGTCCAACACAGTTTACTATCATATATCAGGACCCACTACTACACAATAACACAAGGAGGCTTTAATAATGGTAATCGACAAAAAGAAAATACGTCTACAAGAAATATAAGTAAATTTTAAATATAAATGACTATAAACAGCTAATTAGTTCATCAACCCGGATAACTAAGTCCTCAGGCCACCATACTAGAGCAGGTAATAATATGTAAGAGCCAAGAGAAAAAGCAATCAGGTTGGGGTCGCTCGTACGATTAAGAGAGACAAACACGAAACAAAGTAGAGAGAATTACAAAGTGAGCGAAATCAGAATACTTAATAATTTACCGACTATTTTACTTGCTTTTATACAACAGTTGCCTCATATTTAGTCAATATACTGTAGGTAGCCTTAAATAACTACAGTGCAGGATCAGAGGCTTCCACTACCCAGTACAGAAAGAGAGGAATCACTCCTGACAGTATCGAACTTACACGGTGACAGAGAACTTTGTACTAAAGGGGTTCAATAAATTAAACTCGATGAAGAGCAGAGGTATTGATATAACCCAAGTCAGGTTTTTATGGGATGTTGCTATTGTATCAAAATCAACAGTAACACATCTAATTAATCTTTCCATTAGTACCAATACTGTACCAGAAGAACATAAGTTTGCCAGAGTAACACTTATCTTATCTATGAGGAAGGCAACAGATCTGGGAGGTAAGTACAACCAGTTAGTATCCTATGTATAGTATCTAAAAGGCTTTAGGGGGTCTCGCATCACACCGGGTTCATCCATTTCAGTGACCATAAGAGGACCCAAATAGCTCATGAAAATTACACAGCCTTGGACACAGAGGATCATGATACACTATGTGAAAAACTGCAGGCTCTTGGCATTGGACCAGTTGAACTGTTTAGTCTTACCCTAACAAGAAGAAACAAAGAGGAGTTGCAAATAATACCGAGTCAACACTGTCGATACCGTGTGGAGTCCCACGTGAGCGTGAATTGTAAACTTCTGTAGTATGCTGATAACAGTGCCCTTTTAGTGTCAGGTAAAGATTCAATTAATATAGCGAACAAGTTATCATCTGAACCGGAGTCACGCAGTCAACGGCTGATAGACAACAAGTTATCCCTACATCATGGAGAGACTGAATCATTATTCTTTGGACCAAAACCAAAACTCAAAAGAGTAAACGAATCGAATGTACTATATGAGAATGAACCATCTCAACTGTAACCCGGATAAAATACCTTGGGCTAACTCTTGTTACGCCGTCTCTTAATTTACTTAAATATCCAGGTTCTAGGCGTAACCAAACAAAAAGTGAAGTAAATTAAAAGAATAAAAATAAATAAAGTAAACCTTTAAGAATTTAATTGATTAAATATTAACACAATAAAGAGCCTCGTAGGCTGTCACAACAAATTGATTCACCATCGAAACTTTTAAGACACAAATGATACTAAACATCGAAACATCAAAAGAATAAAAATAAAGCATTGGATTACGTTAACACTGCATAAACATGTAAAAACTATCACTGAAATTAACTAACGTGAAACAACACTGAATTACTTGAATACAACTAAGCAAATACTGATGGACACAAACAGAGACATAAATAGGTACTCACATAGATATACCACATTGGTGGCGACAGGAACAACACAAATAAATTAAGTATAAGTAACAAGTGACACTCAAAGGATGTGGACTGTATGACAAGAGGACTGAACTAACTCAAGTCAGTTGGTGGGTCCTATATATAAGGTCGGCTCCCGCCACGCGACCCGCCGGTGGGTCGTTTAACGATGCAGATGGTCGTTAGAGAACAAAGAATGCTGGTTACAATACAAAATAAAGAAATAAGATGGGCTTGAACAAATAATGACAGTTAAAACCTTAACAGCACAGGGTAAGGTGACTAGAATATATAATAGTAAATTTAACACATCATTACAGGAATAATATGGAACATGGGAGCATGTTATATATAAAAAAATATAAAAAATTCGACACGGTCGTAACACTCTTAACTCTGCTAGGCTAAAATTTCTTCATAAAAAATCAAGATGTTTCAGATGATGCACGGAGGACCCTTTGCCGAGCGCTCAAACAATATCACTTTGACTATTCCTGTTCATCAGAGTACTGTATTCTGCCTTAATTAACACATCTGAAGACAAGCTACAAACTGTCCTGCAGTCATTGGACATGTTAAATGTGGCAGGTAGTGAAGAATTTGAGGCTGAAACACGCTTATAGGATTTTCAGCGGACTGTGCCCAGTGTATCTACAGTAATAACAAACGTTGTAAAATATATACTGGCAGGACACAAGGGAAGGTGAACACAGTTATATGGCACCTGGTGATCGCTGTCAAGCGAAAAACACTTTCTTCTTTACAGCGATAACGGATTGGAACAAGTTACCAGACCGCATTAAAACCAGTAATGTTATCAAACAATTCAAATCTAAAATTAAAAATACATAACAGACAAAGATACAGAGAGACAATGTTGTATGTTAAGTGATTCGTCAGCCTCGGATACTACTGTTCAATGCAAAGTTTGTTATATTTATAAAAAAAACAGCTTCTATTCCTGTAGATATACTATTACTGATTAGTGACCAAACGTAAGCAAAAGACCCTACTAGTAATAAGAATTTGATGGCTTTGTTGGCTACCCTTGGTCGAATTACATACTGCACGGTCTATGTAACACTCGCTCCAAAAAGTATCTTTACGATTTTAGGTGAGACAATATGACACAACAGACGAAGGATTTTGACAAACCTACTGAGACAACAGGAGTCGTGGTGTTCATCATGAAACTCATCGGTCCACTTTGTAAAGACAGTTTTTGGAGCGAGCACCGTATACCTGAGTTGTCTGCTGTTTATACAAGCTAAACCAATTGTAAACTTGTATGGCAACATTATTAAACAAACAATAATTATTATAATATTGTTCATATTCTTATTATTAAAATGTTCGTATTTTAATTCTCAAAGACGAGTTAAATAAAAATTTTCATGATAATCTCAAATATGACAAAGAAAAAAGTTAAAATTTTCCGAGAAAGTTTATAAATTATTATTATTTTTTTAAGTTTTAATATTAACCAAAATGTTAACACAATGCCTTAGTTTTTTTTTTTTTGGTATCTATCAAATGTGAAAAAAGCCGTTTTGCTATTTTTAAATTGTGGTCATTTTCGTTTGAACAT